TCTTATTCGAAGGCTACGATATATAGTGAAAAAATTGTGTTCTAGTCCTTAGCAAAGAAAGCAATTCTGTGGGTAGTGCAGTCTTGCTAATTGTGAAAATTTGATGGTGATCTTGGATGTCTCAACCCATTGAAATTGAACGTATTATATGGTTGAAAGAGCAATTAAAGTTCAGAATGGCCTGAAGAAAAAAATCGGAAACATCAAGCTAGCTCAGTTGCAGTTTAGTGATGATGAATGGCGAAGGTTTCAAAGCATCTATGATCACTTGAAAAGGTTTGAAGAGGCCTGAAGATTAATCTCATGAGAGAAGTATCCCTCGCTCTTCTTTGTGATGCATGTGTTCGTTGAATTTTTCTCGTATATTGAAGGATATGTGATTATTCTTGACGATTTGAATCCAATGAAAAACGCTCTGGTTGCGGCACATCAAGTTCTTCCAAATACTATTACTTCACAAATGATTTTTATTTCTATATGATGTCTGTAATTTTGAACCCGTGGTTAAGAAAGACATACATTGAGCAGAAATAGTTTGAATCTCTTTATCCAAGATTGATTAGTGCTACTGTTACGCTTTTGAAAAAGTTGGTGAGTGAAAGAAAAATATTTTGTGGCAATAATGAGATCAATTGAGTTTTGTCACATGAACCTCAACAGCCAACTGTATTTTTGGGCATGTTTGCTCATTGTAATGCGGATAATGAAACAAAAGATGAGGTCGATAGATACTTATCTTTACGATGTGAAGATCCTACCGCTGATCTGCTCGAATATTGGAAAGTTCATGAAAAAAAGTTTCCCTTTATTAGTGAAGTTGCAAAGAATGCTTATTCTATACCGGGTTCAACAATGGCAATAAAACGTATTTTCAATTGAGGACGCAATGTGATTGGTGTTAGAAGACACTCTCTTGCTCCTGCAACGTTTGAGTGCTTTGATGTTTGGAAAAAGTTTTTTGAAATGATTTACAATTAATAAAGCGTAAAATTTGTTTTTTTCGTGAACAATTTTTCATTTTGTGATATTTTGCAATTTCTTTAATCTAGATTCACTTGCTATTTACGTTGATTGATTTTTTATTCTTCATAAACATTTTATAAATCTATCAGAAGGTTATAGATTTATAAAATGTTTATGAAGAATAAAAAATCAATCAACGTAAATATTGAAAAATAAATTATAATAATTGAATTTGATAATCCTGAAAACTTAATGGTAAATAAATTCATTTATAGAGAAAAATACATTATATTTTAAACCTTATTTGTTTCATTTTGACTAAAATCAACATCAATATAACATTTTGACGATATGGATATTAAAAATATATTATTGGTATAGTTTTGAAGAAAAATGAATGAAATTTTGAAAAATATTTTAGAAGATAAGAAAAATAAAGTTATTTTTAAAAAAAAAATCTCAAAAAGTATACCCTAATATTTAATATAAAATATAAAATATTATGTTATATTATATGTTATATTATGTTATATTATATTATGTTATATTATTATCTATAAAACAGCAATGAATTATTGAAATACTATTTCAAAGAAACTAAAAGATTGAGGTATATATTATATTTATAATGTAGAATGATGGAATTTTTTCAAGAAAAATATATAAAAATAGAATTGATTTTCTTTTTTGATTTTAAAAATATTTAATATTTTCTATAAAAAATCAGTGAATTATTGGAATACTATTTGAAAGAAATTAAAAGATTGAGGTATATATTATATTTATAATGCAGATTAATGGAATTTTTTCAAGAATCATATAAAAAAATAGAATTGATTTTCTTTTATGATTTAAAAAATTCAAGGTATATATTATTAAGTGGAATAAATTAAGAAAACAAAAATTGAAGAGAAATATAGTATAATTCTAATCATACTTAAATTTGATATTGGTTTTTAGTAGCTTTAGTGTTTTTTGTTTTTTTTAATTTACCCAAAATCATTTTTGATAAAGATCTGGTTTTTTCCACCATGACCAGATCACAAAGCAGTATTTAACCAGAACCCCTCACTTTGTCCGGCCACATCATTCGGACCTACTCTGTCCATGTAAAATTTAGAGACGTGGAAATTCTGGATTTGGCTCATATGTGTCGTGAAAGTCATGCCGCTTAATGAAGACGAATATGTGCATTGCGTTCAGGACTTACAATATACACTCGTTTAAGTTCACAACTTGATCCAGGAGATCTGGTGCGGACTTAGCTGAGATGCGGACCTAAGGAAGATTAGGGTTAATACACATGAAGATTAGGGTTAGCACATATGAAACACATTTTTGTTTGCTGAGTAATTGTCAACTCTTGAGTGGCAATCACAAAATTGACATTCATGGTGAAATCGAGCAATGTCTGATCGATGATTTAGAGCTATTCAAAAATACTCTTCTTGAAAAGATTGAACAAGCAATGGGTGTCATCCTTGTTCAGGAGTTTGTCATCGAATCCGAAGACGATGAATCCAAACCAACCTCGGCTCACAACGACATTGATCAGCGCGATGTTGTACTTCAATCTTTAGAGAGTGCAATCAGTCTCGATGTCAATATGAGTGACCTGAAATCTTCACCATATTTGTCATCCGACCATATAAATCAGGCCAAAGCAGCACTATACACAATCCGTGTCATTTTACAAACTGGACGATCCGCTATAGCTCGGGAGCAAATTGAAAATAGCCGCCAAATGATTCAATTTGATCATATGTAAAATACACTCTTGAGAATTGATTTAGAAATTTTGCGTTGTGAAGTGAGTACTTAATTGGGATGCGGACTTAAATGAATGCAGACTTAAGCGAGTGTATACTGTGATGGAACAAAGCAGACTCAAAACCTCGATCTCTTGGGAGACAATTGAGTCCAATGAAGAGTTAGCTCACACGGCCAAGCAATCCTGGGCTCAAAACCTGAGAGCCATCATCAAGCGGCCGGAGTCCACCTGGCTGCGATAGGGGACAGGAGGTTGGATCGAGCCGCAGGAAGGACATTAACGGCGGAGATGTAATTGAAGGGATTGAGAGGTTGTGACATCGATACCTATGGCTCAATGTTTCAAGAAAATCAAAAAGTGAAGTTTGAACTTCCGGATTTTACTCCAATCCGACCCGAACCCGCTCGGTTTTTTGGGTCGGGTTCGGATCGAAGGTCGCAACCGACCTTATCATAGCCCTATTTATACTTCAGAACTCTTAGTTCTAACAACCAAATAGCAGAAATGAGTACCAAATGGAGTTAGTTTCAAGTTGGTTCCCAGGAGAATGGCAGTGTTTACATGATAATATTCTGGTGACGCATTTGAAAATTTAGATCTTTCAATCAATTTTGGTATGATAAATCATAGTTTCATTAACATATTAGCAAAATTAACAATTCTAAGAGATAAAAGATATTAATATGTAAGCATGACAGAAAAGATGGCATCTGATTTTCACAAAAAAGAAAACAAATTAAGATAATCCAAGTCCACTACATCAAGATATATATAGTCAGTCTTTGTCTTTAACATGAACATAAAGGGTTGAAAATCATGACTTGGTGATTTACAGATTGAATGTATAAAACTGCGAGTACAGTAGAACCTCTATAATTTTATCAAGCTGGGACCGGCCCTTTTTGATAAGTTTATAGAGGTGATAAGTTTCTAGAGTTTATTAAAATTGATTCATTTAATTTTGCTTGATTGGTCTCATAACCATCCGGAAGGTTGCAGAAAGGTATGGAAGGTTAGGAAGGTTACGGCAAGGAATGCAGGACCTCGAAAAGACATAGAAGTTGTTTGATACCCAGGTTCCGTGTGTATTGGCTGTGGTATTGTAATGGGGTGTGTAGGGCACTGTATCCTGGCGTACTGTATACAGTTGGACTGTGTAGAAGAAAACTTCTCAAAATGTAAACAACTTAACCCAGGAAAATCCCTAACCCACATCAGATATTTAAGCAGCCAACAAACAAATGTGAACAAAAGCTTAGGCAGACAACCATTACAAGTTTCTTTAGTCGATCATAGTCGTACAAATGTAGCTCGGAAAGCACATCAACCTGAATATAAGTTTATAAAAAATTCGGGGCAACCAAAGCTTGATAAGTTATAAGATTATAAATTTTTGACCTGAACCCATGCCGGGACCGCACAATTTGATAAATTTTCGGAGGTTATAAATTTATGGAGTATAAATTTATAGAGGTTCTACTGTATTACAAACTGGCTTATAACTATCGTACCATCTGGAAATGAAGAAGTGGAAGTAGTGACGCTACAAATTAACATTGATGTTTCATGTTTTCTTGCATGTCTACACTTAATGAAAATATAGTGATTCGAGAGAGGAAGCTGGATATTGTCCTTCTCATCTCTAGTATATTGGAAACGAGGTCTCATGACACACGTCTGGTATCATGCATAAGATCTTCAGTTTGGTTCAGAAAAACGTTCAGTGACACTCTCTCTTCAGTTTTGCCACTCTTCCTCTCATCATAGATCTCTACAATATGATAAAGTCCGATTTTGCTCTGACTCTTGGCCTTGTGATCATCTAACCAAAGTTTTCTTCATGGTTACGATAGCCCATGCGAGGTTATCCAGATTCGGTCTCAGGACTTTCTGATTGGAAAAGAAACTCAGCGTTCTGTAAGGACAAAAAGACAATCTTAGTGCGAAACATAATTTAGGACGTGACGAAGGCAGATGTTTAAAAGTTGTGAAAATCCCGTGCCCGGAGATTCTCATGCCCATGCGTTCAACATGCTCATAGAACTCATTAAAATCCTTACAATTTGACGACGCTCAACGACATGCCCGTTAAGTGCATTTATATAATTATGATTATAACTAGAAATTCAATAATGATGAGCGTTTAACTTTAGCTGCCCATAAACTATCCGACGAAGGAATAGAATGAACTGGAACGGTGTGCGAGATCGACAAAAAAACCCCACTCCTCAAAGTACAAAAGGCTCCACGGGCGTCTCGACACTCATCCTCTTCCACTATCACCTTGGATATCCAGAACTTCACCTATCACAGAGCCTCGCATTTGATAGGTGAAGAAAGCACTGGACGTCGATTGTGCTCGTGATAAAAAGGGTACGTTAATCGCATATCGTCAGGAACATGTCATAGGTTTCTCTCGACCATCGTACCGGCCAGTGTTGTCATTCCAATTTCCAAGATGCTGATTCGTCCATAAACAGCAGAATGCACATTCTAGTGTTATTTGGTGATTTCAACTGACGGTTGTCTTCAATATTTCTCGACAGCATTCCCGTTTCAGATGTCCTCACGATCATTCAAGACTTCCTGAATTCGATTTCCTGCAAATAAGCTTCTAACAAGTTGATGATGGTTCCTATTCCTCGCTGCAAGTGGTTTTAAGCTGACGGTCTGCCTGTGACGATGATTTGACAGCGACGACGAACACACCGGCAGGAAGGAAGGTTCGGATCATGGCCAAACCGGGGGCAGTGACGATGCTTTTTGCGTTGGTGATCGGGCTCTGGGTGATCGAACCAACCGAGGCCCTGGATTATCTCTTCTGGGATGGACCCTCGTGCACGGGCTTTGTGCAGAGTCTGTGCACAGCGATCAGCAACGGCACCTGCTGCCTGGCGGACAGTGCCTATCAGTCAGTGCAGGTCCAGGAAGGGGACGGATGCAAAGCCTCAACCACGTTCAAGGATGGAGACTGTGCTGCCAATGTCACAGTTACCACGAGCACCGGCTCCACGTGTTTCAACAGCGGCGGACCCACGTATACCGCCGCCAGCTGGCAGAATGCCTGCGTGAACACGACGGCCAACGCGACGGCCAACGGAGCCACGCCCGTGGCTCGGCGAAGAGCTTTGTTGAGCAGGAAGAGTGGCCCGGAAGCGGGCCGTGCCGGTTCAGCCGGTGATTGCAGCCGTCATGTGGAAGTGGATGACCGGATGATTTACTACCGACAAAATCCCACAAAGGGGATCTGGAGCCTTCGCATCGAGGGCGCCAGTAAGGCCCAGGTGTTAGAGCAGCTTCTGGATGTCCCTAACGAGGACAGGGTGTTCTGGTTGTTCACTCACGGTGCTTCCTATGACCTCCAAGGGAAGGGAAGGTTACTGAATTTCGTCGAGGCCTAATGTTACGAGCTGCCGCTAGAGCGTGCACGCACGCATGCTGCGATTCTTACGCTAGAAGATATGCGCTCGAAAGCTGCTGGTCCGCTAGAAGAATTTAGAGCCCGATGTTCGTCGCATCGATCGAACACGCAATTGTGCTTCAATTCTGCTCGAAGGAGCTTCTCATTCATTCCATCATCGATTCAATAATCTGCCTGTCTCAGAGCCACGACAGAGGCCCAGAGGCGCAATGCAATAAAAATAGTATCATTCGTTTCACCGACGACTTCACTGATTCCAAGACGTTGAATCGTCCTCATTCTCAATCGATCATTTGCTCACCGATGTATGCAAGCAGTGTTGAATCTGTGGATCAAACTTACGCTACATGGCTGCTCGAAGATCGACCATGTAAATGGTGATTATGCTTTTGGTATTTCAGGCTGGAGTGCGGCAATTCGTTCAGCTTGAGTGTGTGGGAGTCTCATGTCTAGAGTCAGATTCCGAGTAGTACGAGCGCAATTTTGAAGACGAGAAACATGACTGTGTACAGAACGAAAGACTTTTATAAACTAGATAAACTCTACGCGTAGCGTTTTCCAACGCCATCTTCCACTACAAATGGAGTGTTACAGTCTTGTCTGCGAACTGCTGGAAATATATAAAATCATGTATTAAACCGGTGCATCAGCTGACAAAGGCAAGTTGCAGTCGGAGTGGATTAAACTTAAGTTACCTTAATTTGATCCACTCCGACGCCGAGACTTCTTGTGCCATTCTCGAAGTCAGTGTTTGATAAAACAACCTCTCCAATAGTGTATGTCCCAAGCCGACCGGAAGACGTAAAACACCAGTTCTTAAGGATCCGCCATCGATGAGTCGGAGATAAATCGAATGTTACTTGTCTTTTTCAATCGATGCGCTCTCAATGTTGGTTTGAGTTCACGCTCAACCTTCTGGACACACTTCTGAGGTCAGGACCATCATCTGTGTGGAGTGTAATCGGCTTGTTTATCAGATTTGCTACGCTACAAGGTACACTGAGTTTTGCGTGCGCGAAGAAATGAGTCCTACAAAGCCACAGTTATGTGCAATGGTCATTTCGAAAACTATTTGCACTCGATCATGTTGCACCTGTTGTGGAGATTTAGAATGACAGTCCAGCTCATTCGAGATGAATCCGTTACCTTAGAACTTTACTTAACAAAAGGAGTAAAGAGAGCAAGAGAGGGTTCATGACATGCATTACGCGCATGACAGAATAATGTGCCGTGGGTCATTGATTGTAGTGATTCATAGATATGATGTTGAAAGTTGATGCACAACGAATTAGTTAAAACATATCCTGGATCATAAGATGATTCGATTAAATCAACAAACCATGGAACCAACAAAGTGCACTAAGCTGAGATCGTAGAAAAAAGAGCACAGCAATATTCTGACTGTAAGATCAATCGAATCATCATCGGGGTCCAGATGGTTGTCTTGGTACCCAATCTGGTTTGCCCCTTCAAATCGGCTCCAACATGCCCCATTCAGCCTCTTGTCACTGCAATGTCCCTAACTGCCGATTGTACAATAAGTCTTGCAGTTTAGAGAACGGAGAGCCCAGATCAGCGTATAAACCTCTGTTTCCAAACCATCCATCCACACCTTTCAAAAATCGTTTTATATTTATGTTTTTGCTGCACGACGGTTGCCGATGTGTTCCCGATCGGATACAGAGTTGGCCTTGCAGTTCCAAAATTTCAAAAGTTCGCAGGAAAGAAGGCTTTTCTGCGCGGTTCATTCCCAGTTCATTACGATGGTTAGAAAAATCTCGCAGTTCAAATTTTTTTAGACGACCTCCCACTAGAATGACGAGTAGCGTTGCAAACCCTGAGTACTGACGTGCTGGTAGAGTGGTGTGCTGTGTGCGGAGAAGAAGAGGACCGGTCCTTAGATCGGGCAGCCAACGATTCCTTCAAAGCTGCGGCTACAACTGCTGTATAGGAGTTGCTTCGGACTGCACTCTCACGACGTCATTTTCGATGGACGCCCCTTCTGGAGAACAAGCCAATGCCGCAGCTCTCGGCAACTCTCGGCAACTTACGCATCGGGCTCTTGATGATCGCCCCGCGCTCCAAATCGAAAGCATCCGTCATCCATCGGCACCCGGTGGTGCCGATCGGAGACTTCTCATGCCCACGTGAAGGAACTAACTGCTCGCGTGGCGACAACGCAAAACCGATGGAAAACAGGAAACGACAAACATATACATGCGTGCGTGCGACCCTCTACCCTGCTGACCGGTTCGCGCCGGTCTCGTATCGATCCTGCGGTTTTGTTGGTCCCCGAATTCTCTCTCCCCGGCCTCCAAACACGACGGTAACAGATCGCACCGGTCGTGGGTCTTTCCGTCCGAGTGCAACAGAGGGTGCCGCGGACGTGGATGACTGTCCGATCCTCCCCAAGCGCACGTGCCCTCACACGTGACTCGTGGAGCCTTCCCTTGACTTGGGCGATTGTCGTGTGGGTTGGTAATATTGGAGGCAAGGCCAAATATTTTGAGCCATCCCATGCCCCCTTTAATGTCAAAAGGTACGCCCGTGATAACATATAAAAATATGTTAATTTTAAAACAGTAAATAAAATATTTTTCGAAGTAAAATTATAAAAAAGTTTTAAGATTTATGTATTAATTTGTTTATATTCAAATAAGTACAAACAAATTAATATATAAATCTTAAAACTTTTTTTAAGATGTACATTTACCGGATAATTATGCAATTTTTACCCATAAATACACATATCAAATTTAGGATTTATTATGTAAATCTAAAATATCCATGTAAACTTTACAGGATCTTCCATGTGAGCACGGGAATAAGCAATGGTATCAAACAGAATACGTTCTGTTGAACGTATTCGGGTTTCTGCTCCCATTACTAAACTTGTTTACAAGTTCAAAAAGAAAGGTTTTGTGTTAATACTAGCTCTGATTCAAAAGCCCATGTCAATGGGAGGTTGACCCCATGGAATAGAAGCTTGATTTAAGAAATGTCGATCCTCGTACTAGCGCGGATCATTCCAAAGAAACAATTACATTTCGTGATTTTCCTTTTGAAACTTTACTTCTTGTCTCTATAAAATTTTGACCACAAATAATTTCCATATCTAATTTCACATTCTTTATGAAATTCGAGGGTGTCTTTGCAACTTATATTATTTTACACAATCTCGTAATTTTTTGTTCAACATGTCATGAATTGTAGTCTTACTTTTCAACTAAGATGGCTCTAAAGACAGTAATAGAACATTAGAACCCCTTTTGGAGCTTGTGATATCTGCTCCCTTACTCTGCACTTGGAGGTAGGGTAGTTTCGTGATGCAAAGGGGAACTGATTAGACTCCAAGAATATATTTGCTTCACTAATTTTGGTGTAAGAGAACAAACTTTAAAGGTTGAGCTCTTTCAACGATAGGAAAAATTCAAAGTTTGTAGAAGCAAAATCTGTTGGAAGGCATAGTACTGGACGCACAAGTTGAAACTAGACCCTCATTCTCTCACATCGGACTTCAGATTTCAAAGTGACAGCCCTGACCTTGCTATGAAAGTACCTGTTTGTTAAGTACGCACCTCCCGGTGAAGTGCACAAAATCTTACTGGGATCAATTTGCGTACTTAACCGGGAGATTTTTGTATATACGAGGATGTCTCGTATGCAAGAATGCAAGGCATGCCTCGTACTTGGATCTGCCCTTTGAGGTTGTGCATTCAACCATACCCATAGGACTCCCAGTGTCCATGGGGCTCCCAGCATCCTATGATCGGTGTTGATGCTAGAACCGGTCTCCCCGATCTCATGTTGATCGTGGGCTGCTATGTACCGATGGTTTTTATTTGCATTAGAATTCATTACATAACTTTGGGAGCCTAAAGGCTAAGGTTGGATTTTTAGGGTTTAGATCTGGTTTACTAAAATCTAGCTTTGTATTTTCAGATGTCAGAATTGCCAAAATTAATCCGGCCAATTTGCAAAAATTAATTTAGTCAAAATTTCATACATCACATGAAATTTTGTCCATTGCAATAAAAATCCAGGAGAAAGAAATTAGAGTAGGAATGTGTGTTCACTCTCTTGTGAGTGCATGAGCTTGAATTTGTTGCTGAATTGTTGATCTAAGTTGAGCTGAAAGAAATACAAGAAGTAAAAGAAGTGGAGAGCAAATTGCACACAAAAGAAAGAGAAGAAGTAAGAAAAATCCAGTTCATGTACATTTCTATATCATGTTTGCTTTGATCGTTGTGACTATTTCCTTGACTGTATAGAAGTAACCAAATACATTTCATTTTTCTCTTTCATTTTTTTACTTTCATAGCATTTCTATAACAGGTTTGTTTTCATCTGTTATATGAAGTGGTACTTTAGTTCGGACATTGTCTTATTACTCTATCCCCTCGCTGGACTCGATTGCCAGAATCTCCCGCTCTTATGAAAATCGTTTCTCTTCCTCCTTCGTGAGTAACCCCATTCCTCGGTAGAAGTTCACTATGTAAGGGGTTAGGTGATGAACCAATTCCCCCTCCCATCGGGCACTCGCATTGACCCAAATTAAATCATGAAAAATTCTTGCCCAATGAACTCATCCTCCTATCATGACGTGCTCGAAGAAGCCGATTTGCCAAGCAGTGACATAAGTTGTGCGCTGCGGTCGCAAAATATGCATGATCCCCAATGCAATCGCGCGCCTCATCAAGTCCTTGTAATCCGTGTTCTTCCATCCATTTGTTTCCGACCTCGCGTTTTGGAATAGTGGGGCAAAAGTAAATTCTTCTGCGCGGATTATCTTCACGCTATCTTTCTCGAACATAAAATCCTCGTCGTCTCCTGCGCATGGCCCTAGAACTCGCGTCCAATGCTCCACCGTCCACAGCATCGGGTTGCCTCGGAGATCCTCTCCCTCGTTCCGATTCTTGTCCTTGATCTCCTTACAAAACTGGCCGATACGCAATTTCAATTCCACAAGAGTAAGTCTAGGTATAATTCGCTGAGCTCCCGCTTATAGGGTCGCAATTCCTTGTAAGGTAACTTCAGCGAAACCAACTTCCGCACCTTGGGCGTCTTGGGTGGTGCCATATCTTCAAATCGCGTCTTCGCTGCTATCAAGATCGATCGATTTCACATTCCCTCACTCTCGCTTGTTCTCGCTCGATGTCGCAATGTCGGCGCAAATGTCCTTGTGTGGCCCTTACCCTCGATGCCCTAACATACTCCTGCGCGTGAATTGGTACCCTCGGCGCGTGCGGACCTTAACCGGTCCTTCACAAATTCAAATTGATCTTCGTCATCTTTGCAGAAGACCCGGCTATTGCATCCTCCAAAATGACTGCGTCGAAGATCCGAAGGTCTTCGGCCAAAGGCAAGTCCTACTTTCCTTCTCTGTCTAGCTAAATTTCCCATAATTTTTCTAACTTCTAGAACTTAGCACTTATACGTCTACATTCTAACACAAATATGTTTAAGTTTTTGTTAATTTTGTGAAAAACAATAAAACTAAGCACCACACAAATCCTCAACAATAAGGCGCTCTGCTCGTAGATACTCTTGGAACCTGCATTCCACAGAAGTGGATATCCTGAATTACTCAGCATACCCAAATCGACGTGCGCAACCTCAAAATCCCCTCCATACGCTGATTTTGAGAGCTAATGGCATTCGGTCCCAGCCTCATCTTGCTCTATATTATCTTCACTTGTTAAGGTATCGTTCTTACTTAACAATCAGATCTGATTCCATTCAGATCACTCGAACTGAAAATCTTTCAAGAATTAAACAGTTCATGCTTTTGAACATGAACTCCGTGGAGCACGAAAAGCATGATAAGCTCCTTTTTGAAACACAACCCGTCCAATTCGACTACTTGTGCTTGGGTTTTGACGAGTATCTAAACCTGATCTATTCTCAAGCAGTGGAGAGTAAAGTCGAGTTCCCATACCACCTCGAAACATCGACTATTCCAACCATATGATCAATTGCTCAGACCACAAATGGAACAAAAGGTGAGTCCGTGCTGCACCTTTCTAGCTTTCACCTCATATGGCCAAAAATTCCTACCTTGCAAAATTACTTTCAAATTGTAGCCAACTAGAATTCACAAAATTTCTTGGAACATCCTATTGTACATCCAATCCATGTGGGCCAAACATTTTCTCGACCTGAGCTCCACCTGATCATTTGCTCGACCTCGAGACTTTAGTCACGCCATCACGTCTTCAATCCACTTCGACGCAAACGCATCGGGGGCAAAAACCCAGAGTACAGCAAGAATCACACTCTCGTCTTTCTGCACTTTGATTTCAAAAAATTCCTCAACCATAAAACTCGTCGATACTGTCACAAATAGTAATCACAAAAAAATCTCCAAACCTTCGACTCGAACTCTGACTGCGAAAATCACGTGAACTTCTTCTTCGGTAGTGCCTAATGCCCAAAATCACTCTCAATTGCTTTGAATGAATTAAATCGTAGGTTCAAGAAAAACACCAAAACTATAATAAAAAATCGTCAACTCTAACGATTTCAATGAACATGAGTTCTTTGAGTGAAATAACGAGTTTTTCCCCACAGAAAAATGCCTAAGTCTTGATTATCTCACTGGCAACAAAACTGTCACATACACAAGTTGAGCCCAACTCACTCCGAAGAGACTCCAGGTCGATGCTTACGGACAGTCGTTCTACTCTCAACGCTAGAGGCTCGACTCGAAGAATTGACGTTCTTCAAGTCGTCGTCGACCATAAAACCTACAAGAACATAAACCCTAGCTCAACATCTAAATTTAGTAAGAAATAAAACTACATGACATTCAAACATCCACGTATTTGTGGGACGTTTCTTGCTCCACATAAATTTGATGCCCTTCAAGAAAAAAGCACATATAATGTTGAGAGCAGGTCACATTCTCCTTGGAAACACCCATCTCTGATATGAACTTGCGTCTTATAAACATCTAGAATGATACAAAACTTGGTAAATATTGAATTGCACATTGCAAAATTGAATTGAACTTATGAAAAGGTAACTTTTTGCACAAGTTACAATCAGAGTTTGACGCATTCAATCTTCTCACAATATATATGAAATCATGATTCAACCTCACCTTGAAGGATAGAAAAAATGCAGCGGTGAGTGACATGACAATGTCACTGAACTCCATCACATGACTTCCATCATGGCATTGAATCCGGATGTCCACAAACTGTGAAATTTCACTCCTAGTTTCCCAAGCCATCGACTCCACGTGTGGCCTTCCTTGATGCTTCCATTCTTCCTTGCTTGCATGCTCACGTATGAAGGAGGGAATGAAATATTGAGAAGTATTTTTTAGCTTGAAACACGAATTCAAATTGAAAAGTATGTTTTTAAGCACCTCTCTATCTACACCTCTTTGTCCATGTAATTGCTTTTGCAAAAACTCCTCTATCAACCCAGCAAAGACAGTCTCATTCACAGATCCGTCCTTGCTTGTGTATGAGTCAAGTGACAATGTTTTGTGAGAATACCTTGACTCTTGAGCTTGAAAGTTATGACCCAGAGCTACCAGCTCTCATAATAGTGTATTGATGAGCCAATTACAATCCACAATGATGTAATCAAGATTGGGTATATAAACGATGGATTCAACGTCATTCAAATAGGATATAATTGATTTAATTATACTTGAATGATCAACGGCATGAGTAGAAGAGGATGGAATGAATTGGGCCAAGATGGGGCCACAAAAGTCATAAAAATTTGGGCTGGCCAAAGTGGGCAAACTTTGTTCTCTTTGGTATTTTTCACCAAGAGTGACGAGAGTTGAAAAAACAATTGCGGAATGCGTGGAGATTTTTCACTAAACAATTTCTTGAAGATCTCACAAATGTGATTTTTGAGGAAAATAACTTGCTTTTTTTTCCGAGCATCCTAATGAAAACACTCTTGAATAGGTTGGAGATTTTCAAATTTTGCAAATCTTTTGGTTTTCTCCTCCACTATTAAGTGAGTCCAAGTCATAGAGGTGGATTTGGCTTTATCCTTGTGTGAAATCACAACAAGAACTTGTGGACAATTATGCCCCATAACCCTAGTGCTGGACGTGATGAAACTCAATCATTCCTCCAACTCTGTTTGGAAACAAGATTCTGGTTTGTTCGAAGATGTTTTTTCACAAAAGATACTATACACAAATAAAAAAACACAAAAATTGTTGTTTTGAAGAAAGAGCACATTTTGAAGAGTGCGAAAAATCTCTTGTACTGCTAGATCCCAAATTGAGATTTGACTATTTTTTTTGTTTTGCAAGAACTCCACTTCAATGCCCTTGAATCTCCACAACTCTTTCCATTTATTCTCAAGCACACTTTTGCTTTGAACTATCCTCATTAGGATCTGACTCAATTTAGTCTTGCCTGATAAATTGAGCAAAGAGAATCACAACAAATAAAACTTGTTACTTGAGATATTTTTACGAATTACACTATAATCTTCAATCATATAGTGTAGATAAACACGAATAGAAAAAAGTTTAATTTCAAATCAAAATGTAATATTCTTAAAAAAGTATCATTATTCTTTCATAGTATGATAAGTTGCTATAATGGAAGGCGATATACGATTTAAATGAAAAAAAATCAAATATTTAGAGACCTTGTCTAAAATTACTGGAAATGTTTGAAGAAAACAAGAAATATATAATTCGATTTAATCTGGATTCTTGTTTTCTTTTTCTTCCCCATTTAGGAAAAAACTTTACACAAATGCAAATACATCTAGAGATAAAATTTAAACTTTAGGTCTATCACTTCAATTTTTGTTAAGTAAAACCTTAGATCGCTAGTTTAAAAAATTGAGAACTCACATAGCACCTTACCTGCTTTAGGAAAGCCGCATTAAAAGAGTAGACCTGCTTTTGCATCTCCAAATGTTAATTTGGCTTGTCTGAACACGGACATGTAGACGGCCCCTTTTGGTTTTGCTTGATGGCGTCTTGAATCTGCACCACCTTTCCGTCCCTTCATGAGAACTCTATTTCCTGGATAGTCATTTTCTCTTGGAGTAGACCCATCACGTCCGTGAACGCCTCTTCGTCTAGTGCATTGTCGTACAAATGCAAATGCCCATCAGCAGTAGCACATGTGGTTGGCGGACACCTGAGTCCCCATTCATGCGGAATCTCGTAAGCCCCGGCTGGACCCCGGGGTCAAGCCGGGTACAAAGCGAGCAGTGGCGTACGCAGCAGTCAGCTGCTGAATGATTCGGTCTACGTCGGTTCGTTGAACACTCCGTATCTACCGTCATTCAAATGGCGAGCGAAATCTTGAGTATGCAGTAGCCAGTGTCGTGCGCAGGGCATTGTTCTCAGCGTTCCAATCACGACCCCGATCACAATAACGACCCCGATAGGAATTCCGATCTCGAAGGCCCGCCAGAATGTATCATCCAAGAGCTCGAACGACGGAGCCCCGAGTGTGGCCGAGCTTGCGATTGCGTTGCTGTCTTGCGTCGCACAAGTGGTCTCGAGCGGGGGTCCGCAGAGCTGATCGTTCCCGGGCTTGAAGGACGAAATGTCGTACCTCGTGGAGAAAGCATTCGACGTGGGGATCTCGCCCTCGAGGAAGTTGTAGGAGAGATTCAGATAGCTCAAGCTGGGCCTGCTTAGCATCGCAGGAATCTTCCCCGTGAGATTGTTGGCCGATAAATCAAGCGATTGCAGACGCAAGAGATCTCCAATCTCCTGAGGGATTTTGCCCGAGAAATTATTGTGCGTCAGATTCAGGTACGTCAACCCGCGCAGCTCTCCAAGCGCGTACGGGAGCTTGCCGAAGAGATGGTTGTATGACAGGTCGATGGAGAACAGAGTATCGAGGACGTAATCGAGTTCGAGTCGCGAACCTTTGGCCTCAATGGAGATTTGCTCGAGCAATTTCCCCCCTACCACCTGGACACGTACAGTGTTGAAGTCGTCGATGACACTGCTGCCTCTCCCGGCGTCGTCTGGCAACGCTTCGAGTCGAATAAAGCCTTCCAAGCCCGATAAATTGGTCGGGCACACTCCCGTGAACGAGTTGTGCGACAAGTCGAGCACTTGCAGCTCCGGAAGCTTCCAGATCCAGCCGGGCACGCTGCCGCCGAATTTGTTGGATGATAATTTCAAAACTCGCAATTTGCGCAGCACTGGCTGAGAGTACTCGTAGTTGTCGGGGAGCTCCTCTGAGAATTCATTGCTGTTCAGGTCCAGGAGCTTCAAATGCGTGCAATTGTACACGCTCACGGGAAACTCTCCGCCCAGCTGGTTCCCGTTGACAGAGAAGCTCTCGAGGGATCGCAGCTGCAAGAAGTCAATCTGAGTCACTGTGCCCGTGAGCTTGTTTTTGCTCAGCCTGATGTTTCTCAGCGAGCTGCAGTTCGCCAGAGACGCGGGAATGGTTCCCGTGAGGTTGTTGCTGTGGAGGATGAGATACTCCATGTACTGCAGTTGCCCCAGCTCTGGAGGGATTCCTCCCGTCAGAGAATTGGAGCCCAGATTGATCTCGTTGATGCTCTCTAGGTCGGCCAAGCTCGTGGGTATGGGCCCCGACAGCCCGTTATTGTGCAGGAAGAGGAGCTTCAATCTCGACAGCTTGCCGAGCTCGGCGGGAATGTGGCCTCGAAAGTTGTTGTCGTTCAGGAGCAAGTACTGGATGCCTTCAGAGAGCATCGAGAGGTTTCTCAGCGGGTCCAGCGTGCCCGTGAGATTGTTGTTCGCTGCGTACAAGTAAGCGAGCAGCGAGAGGTTTCTCAGCGGCTCCAGCGTGCCCGTGAGATTGTTGTACCCTACGGACAGGAATTCGAGCAGCGAGAGGTTTCTCAGCGGGTCCAGCTTGCCCGTGAGCATGTTCTTCGATGCGTACAGCTTATGGAGCAGCGAGAGGTTTCTCAGCGGGTCCAGCGTGCCCGTGAACCTGTTGTTCCATGCGTACAGGTATTTCAGCTGCGAGAGGTTTCTCAGCGGGTCCAGCGTGCCCGTGAGATTGTTGTTCGCTGCGTACAAGTAAGCGAGCAGCGAGAGGTTTCTCAGCGGCTCCAGCGTGCCCGTGAGATTGTTGTACCCTACGGACAGGAAGTCGAGCAGCGAGAGGTTTCTAACCGGGTCCAGCTTGCCCGTGAGCATGTTCTTCGATGCGTACAGCTTATGGAGCAGCGAGAGGTTTCTCAGCGGGTCCAGCGTGCCTGTGAACCTGTTGTTCCATGCGTACAGGTATTTGAGCAGCGAGAGGTTTCTCAGCGGCTCCAGCGTGCCCGTGAGATTGTTGTTCTGTACTTCCACATGACCGAGCAGCGAGAGGTTTCTCAGCGGCTCCAGCGTGCCCGTGAGCTTGTTGTCCGCTACCGTCAGGGCAACGAGTTGCGAGAGGTTTTTCAGCGGCTCCAGCGTGCCCGTGAACCTATTGTTCTTTACATCCACATAACCCAGCAGCGAGAGGTTTCTCAGCGGCTCCAGCGTGCCCGTGAGATTGTTGTTCAGTACTTCCACATGACCGAGCAGCGAGAGGTTTCTCAGCGGCTCCAGCGTGCCCGTGAACATATTGTTCTTTACATCCACATAACCGAGCAGCGAGAGGTTTCTCAGCGGCTCCAGCGTGCCCGTGAGGTTGTTCCCCTCCGCGTTCAGCGCTTGGAGCAGCGTACAGTTGTTGAGGCTGTCGGGCAATTCCCCGTCCAGCTGGTTGCTGTAGAAATTGAACACTTGGAGGTTGGCCAGCTGTCCCAGGTTCTCGGGGAGGCCGCCGGTGAACTCGTTGTAGTACATGTGGAAGATCGTCAGCGCTGTCATGGCCGTCACAGCTCTGGGAAAGCCGCCACGAAAGCTGTTCCTGTCGATGAATAGCTTTTCGAGCCGACTCCACGAAGTGGGCTCCACTGTCAGAAAACTCCCCGTCAGGAAGTTGCTCCTCACGTTCAGAAACTCGAGCTCCGACAGCGACGCTAGCTCCACAGGGAACTCTCGCTCGAGGGCATTAAATCCCAAGTTCAGGAACTTGATTTTCGTCATGTTGCCCAGCTCGGATGGGATGGAGCCTGCGAGATTGTTATCCTCGAAGCTCAGATACTCCAGATTGACGAGCTGGCCGTACTCTCTTGGAATGGGACCCGTCAGTAAGTTGCCGGAGAAATCCAAGTACCACAGCTTCGTGCAGTTGGCGATGGACTTGGGAATGGGGCCACTCATCTTGTTCCCCTCGTAAGGGTAGTAGTACTCATCGGAGATGAAGACCTCGCCCAGGTCCAGAACCTCGAGCTCAGACAGCAGACCCAGCTGCTCCGGAATGGACCCTTTGAAGAACTCGCCCTGCATTCCGATGTTGAGGACCCGTAAGCTGGACATGTTGCCGTACTCTGCAGGAACTCCACCGAAGAGAAAATTGTCATGGACGTTCAAGGTCTGCAGCCTCTGCAGCCGGCCCCATTCCACGGGAAGCTCCCTCAACAGGAAATTGTGGCTCAGATCGAGGTCCACGAGGTATTCGAGCTTGCTCAACGAAAGACCCAAAGTGCCGTTCATCTTCAGCCCGGAGAAGTTGAGGGAGATCACGTGCAGCTCATCGTCGCAGATTACCTTCGTCCACGAGCAGTAGGTGGAGCGATTCCCCGTTGTCCATCCATCCAAAGCGTTGTCCGTGTAGTTTTCGATTTCGGCCTTGAATTGCAGGAGCGCATCGGCCTCCCTGGGACAGTGGCAACACATTGGACTCGTATGGCGTTAGAGATGAATTTCACTCACTCGTCCGAGCATGCGCATTGCTGTGCACATGCTCGGACGAAGGACACAAGCGACAGGTGCAGAATTGTGCACTTCTCTATCAGATGATATCTTGCTGCTAAATGTCACTGACCCGAAGTTGTCTTGGAGCAAAGTGCGAGATATTCCTCTGGAGTGTGCAGATTCCTCCTGAAAACGATGGAGAGGCTCATGACGATTCGTTAACGAAGTGTCGACGGCTTGGTCCTCAAGTCTAAACTGCTGCAGCTCTCGCTGGCTCCTTTGACCGCCGTGTGCTTGTTGCTGGCCCATATGCGCTTCGACGGAGGAAGCCGGAGGAAGTCCACTCTCGCTGTTGATGCTGCCATGCTGTTTCCCGGCCGATTCTGCGCGTGCATCGAAATCTGGATCCTGGAGAGTCTCATCAAGAATCTCGATTCTGCTTATTTCTCCGAAGGTGGTATCCTCCTGACCAACGGCGCAAGCACCGAGCTGGAGGCAACATAGCACCAGAATCACCAGCATCCTGAAGCGTTCGCGGAGAGCGGGCAGATCAGGAGAGGAAACAACCGATGCCCGACCTGTAGATCGTCTGAGGAAGTGCATGGTGTCCACCTCCAGAGAAATATAAAACTCAATTCTCCATGTACTCCTCAATCTCCATGCATCGTGGAATTGCGAGACAGCTAGCTAGCACAGCAGTGAACGACGCTGAGACCTACGTGATTCCCAAAAAGTTCAGCCGGTCCACACTGATCTTCATCATCTAAACTCGGACGACTAGATCGCTAAATGACCAGGAAATTCAACGGGAAATTCACCTAGAGAGTTGCAACTTCGCAATGTTTGGATCGACGCCAGACAATGGATGAAATCACGTATTGGCCCCCCAACCTTAAAACAGCTCTTGGCCTCTGATTAGCATCAGCTCAGAGAATATCGTTCAGACCACAACATTGGATCTTCCAAATGCCTTGCTGGGTTCCGAGAATGGGCAGTGAAAGTTGAAGTGGCTAAGCCTTCACTTCACTTTGAGGATCGAATGCTTTCTTTAAGCCTCCCTGGGCACGCATGAACGAACTAGGTGGTCTACGGTCATGGATTTACTTATAAACTCCCCGCTTGGATTCACCGGCCACCATGCAAAGCTTTTAATCGTCGTGACGTGTGCAAAGATTTTTTGGCGGGGCTTCCTTTTCTTCCCCACGTTGTCTCCTTTGAAAGGCTAATCTACGGCAATGAGCCTTCTTTTCCGTCCTCTTCTCTTGGAAGCAAAGTTCATTAACCTGCAGGGTTACATGATTCTGGAAGGGAATTTGATTACATCTGCAAGTACATTGAGCTTGAATTGAGCATCAAGATATGAGAACAGATTGCCAAATTCTAGCATATTCAAAGTAGTGGTGAAGAGATCTGAAGGTCAGCAAGCTGGAATTGCAAAATCTATGCAATTGCTGTTCTGTGCTTCTTCCAAGGTCTTCTAAGAACTGCACAATATTATTCTTTATTTCTCAGCGCTCCACAATTGTCAAATATTTTAAATTTGTATATCCCAACCGAAAATTGTTTTGTATACTATTTCTCACTCTTGACGTGTAATGAACTCACTCCACAGAATAAAGTGAAGAATCTGGGCTAGATGCTTTTGATATTTTTGGTACATAGGTAAATTGTACAGCGCACAGGATAATGTCTCGACTGCAAAGTCAAACAGACTTTTGATATTTTGGAACATTAAGTAAAGTGTACAGCGCACAGGATAATGCCTCGAGTGGGTATATTGAGAGTGTATTGACAGCGCTATGACGCTGCTGAGTTCGATAAAGTTTAATCTCGAAACATGTGTCGTTGTGACATTGTGGAAACACAGCACCCTCGAGATTCCAGTGACTATTCAATATACAAATAACTATACCACCTTGAGTCACATGGTTCTAGGAGATGCCCAGGTATGAAAAAGAATCCACGAACAAAATCATAGTCCAGCAGCTGAATTCATTTCATTCGTACAGTAGTATTCAAAGTTGTGCTGACTCATAGGCAACTCTAGTTGACCGTGCACCACCACCTGCACAAATGGGGGACCTCCACTTTCCAAAGTCGGAACTTCATAAACCAGGTTAACCACAGTTTCATTCAAATTATCCATTAACCATATGTTACATACGGATGCGGACCATGCTCGGTGTCACTTCGCTCCCTAGACTATCCCTGTAGTAGAGCAGCCAAATAGTCCATGAGACCCAGTCACTAAAACGATGGATTTGTTACTCTTTGTCTAAATGTCTGATTATGGTAGTTTAGGTTCATCCTTGCCTGAAAATGAAAGGCGAAATGGACATTGGGAAGACAGCTTGACATCCGACGATAATTTACTGGAGCACGGCATCGCCTATAACAATTAGCTACATTTTCCGAAGATAACAGGGAGTCAGGAGAATCTGTTCACATTTCTTCCCTGCTCCAATTCAGCCGCAGTTACAATTCCCAGCACGAAGTTCACAACATAAACTTCGCCTGAACAATACTCCCTCCTTCCTGCAGTGGCTTTCGGATCGTCCACGGGGAACGGTTTCAGGAAAACGCAATGGTCCCGACACTGTTATAATACGTGTATGTTGCCATCATCCACTTTCTGAGATCCGTGCCCATGTCTACAATCAAATCAGTGTCAATGAATTGCTGCTGTAAGTGGTGATGGGTCACTTCCTGCAATTTACTCAAGTGGGCAGTGCTGAAGAAGAGATTTCCTCGAAGTGCTATTATGGAAGCTAAAAACCTCTCTCGAATTTTCATCACATTTTCGTGTTTTGACTTTCTGATTTTTCAACACCTCCTTCTGATCATTAATCAACTACCCGATGACCTGTGTGCAATCGCGGATCTTGAGAGAGATCTAAATAGATCTCGTGTCTCTGCTGCAGTTATTCCACATTAGTACGTAAATTCAACACAATTTAGCGATAGCATCTGCCAGTCTGACAGAAATGATGCTTTTACGTGAAAGCGGGTACTTCTCCATACGATATTCTTCTGCGCGACCAAGGGCACCAAGGAAGATTATTACATCTGAGATTGGAGCAAGGAGGAGCAGGCCATCGGTCTTCAAATGCTAATTTGAGATTAGCCGAAAGTGATAAGAACGAGAGGCTTCGCCAGTCGCAACCAAGATCCTGATAGGATTCCCCTTGTGTGGATCGGCTTTGAATCAACACTGGCTATGGACCACTACACCACAAATTGACTATCATAATTCTCTGCCTGAAATGTCGATCAGTCATAGTCAATCGGTCAGTCACCGACATCTGGGTCTCCAGATACCTCCTTTTCCAGGCAACCACCCTTCTAAGAGTAGTCTGTTGCGAGATTCGATTGGAAAGAAGCTCCACGTAATAACAATAACGTCGACGCGTTTAGAAATATGGAATGCGGCTGTGCAATATCAATGTCAGGCGAGCTACTCCCCGGATATATAACGGTACCTCCAATAACACAGCAAGGTTCGATTATACTATCACCACCTTAGTCAACTTTAGCGACTAACTTAGTAGTCTTTCTGTTAGTAACGGAGAGTCCCGAACGATGTTCGTGAGAAGGTTCCGCCCTTCAGCCCGGAGTGCATACGTCGGTGTTGCTGCAATGAATAATCTAGAACCGGTCTCCCCGATCTCCAGGGCTGCCCGTGGGCTGCCCTGTACCGATGATCCTCTCTCCTCTACAGGGCACTGAGGACTTCGACTCTGACTCTGGTAAGAGGAGATGGACTTCGACTGGGACCAAGTCCCTCTCGGAGAATGTTTGACGCAAATTTTGTGGTTTGGGGTAGCTCAAAAGCAAACAAGAAGAGTTGTGCTCCGCACAACTCTTCTTGTTTGCTTTTGAGCTCCTTTCATGACTATGGGAGGGTTTAGGTTTCGGGGTGGAAAAACCCCGATTTTTATTTAGGAAAATTGTGTATTATTAAGAAAACCTTGAAAATCTTGATTTCAACAATGTTTTTTATTGATTAAATTTACCCGATTTTATTAGACTATGATTATGTAGTCAATACAAAATAAGGGTGGAAAAACCTCGAATTTTATCAGAAACAATTTTGGGTTAATTCAAATTTTGGCTTTCCGTCATTTGGTGGAAACTTATATTACTTCGATAGCTTCTATTTTAATATTCTAAATCATTTTAGTAAGATACCTCGCTTGCTATTAAATTAAAGATTGCATCAGCCAGCAGCGGAGTCCGCGACTAATAATAGACTTAAATTTAAAACTCAACTACATGCCAAAAATAATTACGGGTTTTTTGAAAAAACCTTTTTTATCAGACGGTGATTCCAAAAAACGTGATGGTGCCAGCCCTGCGGTTTCCTCTTGTCTCCGTTCTCATTTTCAAAATCTTTATTCTTAATGTTTCTCTTCGGAATAACATTTACTTTTAGTTCTTTTTACCAAAGTGGTGTCAAATGTGAATTTCTTCTTAAATTTGAGAAATGTTTATTATACAAGCGCAAAGTTTAAATCTTTAATCCAACTTTCAAAACGATTGACACTCTTTAGGCGATGGTTTTGGACAGAAAAATTTTGAATACATCCATCACTCCTGATTTTAGTTCATGAGTAGTCAGAATACTCGTTAAGATTTTAGGCTAAAAGTGTTCTATGTTTCATTGTTCAACATGAACAAACTCTTCACTTACTTTACACCTATAGTCGAACATAAACAATGCTGCTAGCTTTGTAATAAAACTATGTCAACTGTGAGCAAACCTCAAGAGATCTAACTTCAATTCATCCAACACTTGAAATCAATCCATGTCTGTAGTGTAAGTTAAATACTAAAAATGATAGACCTCATTATCAGTCATGTAGCAATCTTGCGGATCAGTAATCCTCAGGATTGCATCTAATTTGCGTTAAATGCGCTTCCAAGCAAACCGCTCCGACTTTGTTCCCACAAAGACCTACAGTTTACATCTAAACCTAATAGAAACCTATCCTATAATGTTGGAAGTTGTACCTTCCAGATCCGGACTAGAGCAATCCGGATCAGAGTGATGAAACTTTCTCGTCAGATTTTTAAACAAGTGGCTGGGACCATTGAGCGGTTTATTTAGAGTGGCTGTTTTCACCACTGACCGAGATATTTTTAAGTGTTCAGACCCTCACTGACTTTCCACATAACTGTACATCCATTAACTCCTAACCCACCACCTGGTAGTTTGCTAGTTGAGTTTGATTTACTCTCCCACCGCCCAAGTGTTACTCTGACACAGATAAGGTCACGTAGAGTTTGTCTAGATTACAACGACATTGCAACTAAACTGTACATAACCTACTCAATGAATCCTGAGGATTCCGTCCAGGTTTACCTTCTGGACCTACTCATAGGCTTTTCCGTCTGAATTCTGGCCTTCGCTCAGAATTCAGACGACGATCACTCGTGTTGGAAAGACCACCAGGAACACCTTGTAACACGTCTCCTCCCCTCCAGGCTACTTGGGCCTGCCTGCAACCGCCTCTGACAGCTGAAGAAATCTCGTTCTATAAATTCCAATAGATTCTTCTCCGAAATGAGCAACGAGAGTATACACCAAGTAAAAAAAAATGCAACATTCATCCACAATGGATCTTGCCACTAGACTCGTCGTGCCTTGCATCAAGTCACCCAAGAAACAATTTTCTTTTCTGATGGGAAAGCACACAAACCTCACGGAAAACAAGATACTAAGCTACTAAGCCGCTTGGCTTTAAATACTAATTCCTACATAATCTTATCCCTCACTGAAAAATCCCAGAGATCTCAGACATGAACCCGTGACGACCCCTAATCCTAATCCCCAAAGCTCCAAAACCCTATTGTCGACTTCTGGCATAATATCTTTGTTTCGGTGGAAGGGGGCAAAAATATCCACTTGGGAAGCTTCTTGGGAGTCTTCTTCTCTTCCAAGTTTCTAGTTGTATCCGGCTCCGAAGTTTCGACCGCCTTCTCCAAGTTAGATATTGTACTTTAGCCACTTTTTGAGTTTAACGAACTCCGCGGGACACCTAATTCCTAACATGTATTGCAGAAACCTAATTCTAGCATAAACCTACCTAACATAGTACTTATTTATTATTTTTGTCCGGTTTGTTGGTACAAAACCAGGATTGTGTAGGAACTGGTTCCCACAAGTCACATCTGACCTTGAAGTGACAAATGATTAACATCTCTAAGAAGGTCAGAGACTGAATCTTACCAAAGCTAGTACAACAAATATATATATGGCAATTTAGATATCTAATATTTTTATTCAAATATTAAGCATCAACAATCATCGTTCAGTAGTAAAGGTTGTCAAATTCTTGTGTTAGTTTATGATCCAAAAGTGTACAAGATCTTCAATGAATTTGGGCCGGACATTAGCACAAGGTTGAGATAGTCTATTTTAATCAATTTTATACCTTCTAGATTTAACTGAGCTTTAGTTGCATTGATGCTCTTAATACAAGAATGCATCATCATCAATCACTCCATGTTGATTGTCAAATTTTTCATGCATTTCTAGTAATAGTCAGTAAATTAATCCCATGACAAACTTGGATAGGTTGCAAATATGGTTGTTAAAAATTGTTAAACATACATTCTCTACAAGTTTCTAGCATACATGTTTGTAGAACCTTTGGAAAACACGCGAGTATTAAGAATTTTCCTAAAAGTCTTTAAAAGGCTTTCTAGTTTTACTTAGTCAATTATTTTACTATATTTTAATTTTACTTTATTTTATTTATTTAATTATACAGTTAGATACAATGTATAGTAAATCTATGGATCAATCTTTAGTTTATAAAGTTCCAAACCTTTATTTTTCAAATTCAAGATTTTGATAGTTTTCAATTTATTCCATATTTCCTACATTGATTATATTAGAATTTGGTTTAAATATTTTAAATATCAAAATAGAAACTTGCTGGTTTTTTCAGATTTGAAAGTTCCGTATGTGACCTTGAATATTAGATTGTGTGTATTTCAGGAGTACAAATATGCACTATGGTTCACTTTGCATAACTCTTATTCTCTATGTTCTAACTATGTTCTAAAGATTGAGATATTTGCTTGATGGATCCCATCAAGTTTCAATTTACTCGATGGGAACCATCGACGGCACACCGTCAGTGAGTTCTAATAAATGTTCTAGTACAAATATGTTCTAATTCGTGTTTTTGCGATGACTTTGACGGCGTGCCACTAGAGTTCTACAAAATTGTGTATTATCTTGCCCGCAAGATTTCCCGACCCAACCGAATTTATCAAAGCTTATGGACATTAAGGGTTGCACTTGCGCTCCAAAATCAATTTGCACAAGCACACTGAATCGGAGAAATCCTTTTTGGATCTGGAAACAGTGAGAGACAGTGCAATGCCGCTGGCAGTATACCTTCCACCTCCAGTGATCACGAGTTCTTTCGTCAAACCATCAAATTTCTACTCTAACAGATCTAAAGCACACGAAGATTACTCTACTACCACAATGAAGATTTCTACGCACATGATCACGAGTTCTTTCGTCAAACCATCAAATTTCTACTCTAACAGATCTAAAGCACAATGAAGATTACTCTACTACGCACATGAATTGTTACGGACAAATTCATTTTTGAAACAACGATGAGTTCTTAATGAGACGGTTTGACGATGACATGGACCGTTCTGTGGGCTCCATTAGGTAAATTGAAATTTGATGTATCCCATCAAACAATTTACATTTTTATGAGGTTCCATCAATCAAATCTCTCGTTAAAGATTTGAATATAAAGTGGTTTCATTAAGTTTAAAAAGATTATGCGAAAATTACAAACCAATTAATTGAACGAAAATTTGACACTGAAACTCACACAAGCTCCGTGTTGTGTTACTATCTTCCAAATATGCACTGCTTTTGCAAATTTGGTATGCCATCTTCCCATACTCACTCATCCTTTCCCAGTGTTAGATGAACTTTCCCGTGGCATCATGTCTGATAAGTAAGTATAACTCTCTGAAACTATATTCAGATCCAGAACATATCGAGAAATTTGCTTGATGGGATCCCATCAGAACGTTGACTTGATGGGATCCAATAAGTTACATTTTACCCGATGTGAACCTTCCGATGGCAATTCAGTCCAGTTCTACCGCGTGTTTTGCCGGGCTAGGAAAAACACTAAGGCTCTTTGTTGAAAAGTGAAATGCTCTTCACGGACCAAAATACACAACTAACAGGATTTCAACCAAGAGATTTAGAAAAAAAATTAAGGAGTAAGTAGATTATGCTTATACATTATTACTGTAAAATCATTATGGGACTCAAGAAATTGGATAAATTTACATCCCAATTTATCCAATTTTTTGAGTCCCATAATGATTTTACAGTGATGTAAATTACTCCGTGATGTAAATTGGGAGCCATGGAAAATCTTATTAACTTAAATTCGAGAAGAAATAAAATTTTTTTATTGAATTGTAAACAAATCACTTACAAGAATTGACGGTGACCCGCCGGAGGGTCCCATCGGTTGGACTTGGAGATTCCAGTAATGGTGATTCATTTGTTTGCAAATCTATTAGAGAATATCGGATTAAATAAAACCTATTGCAACGATATTTACATTCTGTCTGTTGTTCACACGATGGATAGGCTATTTTTTCTTCATCTAATTTCCATCCAATACCCCATGGACATTGTCTAATTACTCCTCTTTCCTTCCACAGTACTTTCTCCTGTTTCTCAGCTCCTCATGGTATTAACTGGCAGACGCAGCAGGTCAGACTACTTTAAGCAGCGTTCATATTGTTTACATTGAGTATGCTCAAAGCGGTCATGGCAGAGACTGGGCATGAACTGGATAATTAGAACAACCGTATCTATTACGAGACGTAGGGTGATCGCATCAATTTTTTCTTCAACATCATTTTTCTTCAACATCATCATATTCCACCCTTTGAGCTCCTCACCAAACAATTCGTAATCACAAGACTGAAAGTACTATATTAAAAATAAGGTATAACAGCCTTATCATCATCGATCGTATCCATATGCTTCAATTGAACATACATAACTGGTTATCTCCCAGTTCGCTAATTCGAAGCACATAATCAAGATAGCACGGGGTCTGTTCGGATACAACACCTGGGTTATAAATAGCTCCTTTAGATTGATAAGAGAATTCTTAGTCTAAATGTCAAAGACAAGTGACACTGTAGTGGCCAGTCATTTCACATTACAAACTGGTTGCGGTGTCTCAATTCAAAAATGAAGATCATGGACTGTTGGCGCAAGTGTACCAGGCTAGGCCCACTGATATCTTAAGAGAGAACGTATTTAAATCAAAGAACAACGAAGCAAGTGATCGGACAAAAGCTTTCGAAATATCCTCAAGGGAATTCACATTATTCATAGTACAAAATGAACCAAGGCAACGTGAAGAATAACCCTGTAAAACGAATGTCCGACTAGATTGGTTGCCTCCATCAAACTACTTTACACAAACATTCAGAATATGAAACATTCACAAGAATTTCGAAGGTTCAAGCGCAAAAAGTAACCAATCGACCTTCCTCATGCTGATCTTCACAAACTCTTTTGATACCGGCTGGCAACAGTATGCGCCTATCGCATATTGGATCGCTTCACCGAACCCCTGGTGTGTCACAACCACTCATAACTCAATGACGGACTTTGATTCGTAACATGAACGTTAAGAATTGTTCAGGTCTTCCAATACTGTGTTCAAACTGTAGCTGAACATTTGAGTAGAACACTTTCAAAAGCAGTACCTAAGTCTACTACTTCCTATTGAAGACTGAAAGTCCAACATCACTTTAATGCGAAACACTAGAGTAATAAATTCCAGTCAAAAAATCAGAAAAACGGAGTGTATTTCATCTCTTTCAACAGAAACCACTAGACCTTCCGGAGTAGCACTTAAAGGAAGAAAAACAGAGAAGAAGACGACTCTGGACATCTGTTATGGAAAACACTCTTCACGCTTTTCATATATGAAGGTGGCGTTCAGTATTCGAGAATTAAGTGCGAATGGGGTTCCAATTTCATCCCATCAATACACGCACTACGACAAGATAAGGAGACTGAACCACTTTAGAGAAACCACACTGCACATCCGACTGTTTTACTTAAAACCCTAGCACAGTCAGCGGCCTACACCATGATCAATATGATCAAGCATAGACAGATACAAGTTTCAATAACAGACATTTCTCGTATTTCGAGCACTAAACGTCCTCGCAGGCATCACCGCAACAGAACATTGAGTACTCAAACATTCAGTACTGCTCGGCAACTCCCTTAGGCGGTTATATTTCCAAAATTTGAGATTTACAATTTGATGACTTTTGAGTACACATAAGAATAGAAATCCGACTCGGAACATTCACTATGAGAGGCCCGACCGCTAAATTTCTCGACAATATGAATACAGGGGATTCGTAAATCTCAGAAAAAATCTGGTTTATAAATGCTACCTAATGACAGGTTTATGTCCTACTCCACCCATCCTCTTCACTGTACCACGTTTTTAGGGTCTGACTCAGTACCTAGTTTTACAGAGGTACACTGAAAGCAATATTCTACAGCTAAACCTTCATGTGCAAAATGCTGAAGTACTTTTCATTCGACACCTAATGAAGTGACATGAGTAAGAAAAAGGGAACAAATATCGATGATATGGGACAAAGTAAAGTGAAGATTACCGGCCCCATCGCGGGCCACCAAGAGGTATCATGTTTGACCCGGACTGCATAGGCCCTCCAAATCCTCGACTAAATCCCCCTCTACCACGGTGGTCCCTGAAGCCTGCACAGAGAAGAACATGCCCTTTCAAAAATTAGAACGACTGGGTATTCCAAAGCATTCTGGTGAAAATTATCCAATACATTACAAGGTCCGTCACTGATTACGGAGATGCCCGAAATGGTGAGGATTTCGCAACTGAGAGTACTAGGAGATGGTATGATAGTGTGAATAAACGTGCAAATTACCTCCTCCACCACGACTGCTGTTGACCATACTGGCTAATTGTGGGTTGATGACCTGCCCTGCTTCGGACAGGATAGAAAGAAGCTCCTTAGCATGTTTGGCATTAGCAGCTGTAAAAAACGTATAAGCTGTACCCTTCGCCCCTGCCCTCCCTGTCCGGCCGATTCGGTGAACATAGTCTTCACAAGAACCAGGGAAATCATAGTTGATCACACATTTGATATCCTTCACATCTGTACACCGCCAAGAGGAAAGCAGTAAGTCTGCCGAAATTATTTCACATCTTGCATACTTATTTAAGATAAGAACAAATATAATTGTACGCAGAAATAACGAGACAAGAAAAAAAGTCGGGGAAGTATAAAGTAGTTTTCTTCCCCGACTAATAAATGAAGATAAAATACGAAACAGGACTTCGCACAGTTTGCAGCCCTCAATCGCATTAGATAGACTAGCTCAAGGCACTGTATTCTCGGTCATAAACCATCACATGAATTTGTCAAAACGTACAAAACATGTGACAGGAGGAAGTGACTAATCTAATAAAGGTTACTTCAGATAGGAAGGAGAAACGAAAAGGAAACGACCTCCATCGCTCATAAGTTAGACAAGACATCGCTTCCTCCTCTAAGTAAATCAAAAAGCTGATCTTGTATAAAGAATTCCAGGCCTATATAACGATCCATATGAAGAGCTTCAACACAAGACCTGCGAATGGCATCAATTTCTAATCACGCAGAAAAAGTGGTCACAACAAATAATTTGAACAAAGGAGAATGAACTGTGCACTTCATAGCGCCCCCGCGCAGTGTCCAAAAATGCAGCTTAAGAGTATCATACACATCAAGCAGCTACCAGGGATTTATACAAACCAAAACTTGCGATCAGGCACTGCACAGATCAAACCGAGATGTATCCGCCATGTCGAATAGCAGTGAAGATAATGAGTTCGCTGTATTTCAACGTTGCACAAATGACAGACATGGCGACATGATGAAGAAAGACTCAACGACAACCGAAAAACACGAAAATTCAACAATCATTCGAATTATACTTAGCTATCAAAGAACTAATTTAAGATAACTAGCCCTCGTTCACATCAGTTAAGGTTGAAGTTCAGGACTCCTTCAAGCACAAATTAATGATACCGTACGCCCAAGAACATCAAATGATCAATACAGTGAAGTTGATTGGAAACGTACTTTCTGGTCTTACATTGCTCATATAATTAGCGGTCCTGGACAATTCGCTGAAGAGGTAGGCACATTCAGTTAGAAAAGATTTGATTTTCAGTACATGCTCGCGAGGTATACAATTCGAACACCTCTGAAAGCGACATCGTTTAGCTCCCGTTGAATGACCAGTTCTCAGTTGGTGCTGCTACGTGGCAGCAGTCAAGAAATATGAATCTTTCGTGAGAATGTTTTACATCTTAAGGACACGTGCAATATAGATATTGCACATGAGAAGCGAAAAGTCTGTATGAAGCGAATCAAATCCAATGCAGTCCATTCCAGCAGATAGAGTGAACAGAAAAAGCAGCAGTCGTAAGTAGGATTCACGTGGATAACAATCAAGCAAAAAACATGGAAGCGAACAATTCATTTAAGTTAACATGTACAGGTCCCACAAACTACATAAACCAATGGGTCAAACTAGCTTCAAAAAGGTTGATCTCAGAAAAGTTAAAGCATTGACTTGAGCAGGACTGTGTTGGGTTGTCAACAATAGCAGAAAAGATCCTGCAAGGCAAGGAATACTTTAAAACGCACACAGCCATGACTGCGGCAAGTCCAACCAAAAGTCTGTGCCAAGACTTTTGGTTGGACTTTCCGATTACGAAAGCTTTCCTTGACACAGCTTCCATACTCGGAACTAAATATAACCCTTTCAGTTTCGATGATAGCGGACCGAAAGGATTGAAATTGTCATCAACAATAGGTCAAACATTTCAAAACTCCCTTTTCTTAGTAAATAACACGTACTGTGGATAGATCGTAGTATATACTGACTGGGACGCTAAGCTACTGACTAATAGTACCTAAGCTCTGAATTTACAGCTTTCTTAAGTTCGTGGCTTCCTTGTGACCGCTCCACTGTGAGAAGCATAGACACATTTTTATCATATTTCTGTCAGCTGCCCTGGGAGTGGAAGCCTCAGTCAATCATATATATGGATATGTCAGTGTCGTATCTTGAACTGTACTCAGTCAGCTACAAACCCATTGCCACTGTGAAGAGGCTCTCATCAAGTTTCAGGTTGACTAAGAAAAAGTAAGCAGTAAACATACGTACGACGAAAGGATAAGCACAAGGGACATGACCCGATCAAAATAGTTCCTCTACAAATGCAGTTAACCATGTGTAACCTGAACGATATCCCACCTTTAAAAGGATAAGGTCCACAAAGAGCTTGCAAGGGTCGAAGGGGCTGCGAAAGGAAGCCAGCTATCCGGACACGCAGACCACAGCAATGGCGGCGGCAAACGTAATGTTCACCACACCTTTGTCATACCACAACACCCTAGAACCGCCGCCAAGCCACAATCGCGCCATCAGGATACTGGTCCACAGCCCGCCCGCACCTCGACACCCCCAGGGTAATTGAAACAAGGGTTGCTGCGCTCCCTTGTACAACTGAAGAGGGGGGGCGCGGAAACCCTTGTCGCCCCTGCGGTGTCCCCTTGCATTGTAACTGGATCAGAACCTCACCAACAGCACAAAATGAAACTACTTGCGATATTTGAGATGGTACACCTCAACATCATAGAGACCTACTCTAGTGTTCAGTTTGCTACCAAAAAATTCCATCACGGCAAACTAAAAAGTGCACGCGGCCAGGGTAAATAGTTACATTCCACATTATGCAACACCTGTTTAGAGCAGTAAGTGTGCGTAAACACCTAACAGATGCAAGAAGACTGGAACTTCGACATGATATGTAAGTTGGACATAGAGCACACAAAGCTTATATTAGTGTGTGTAAACCAAAAACTTTGATCAACAAACACAGAAAGGCCTTCCAAGTCACAAGAGAACCCCATGACCTACCCAGACCACGGGCAGCAACATCTGTGGCTGTCATAATCGGGCTTTTTCCTGCTTTGAACTCGGACAACACCCAGTCCCTCTCCGCCTGACTCTTATCTCCATGAATAGACAGAGCAGGCCAACCATCCATTCGCAACTGTCTGGTAACCTGATCGCATCCCCTCTTGGTCTCCATGAAGATCAGAAGTCGACTTCCATCCATGATCGACTCTAAAAGCTTGATCAACCTACACACGTGGTCACAAGTCAGCACTCCCAAAATCGAAGATACACATTGCAAATTATATAGGTAAGCAAAATCAGTGCAGCCAAAGTCTGATTGACAAGGTAAAGAGGTTAGAGAGTCCACGACTGCACAACTCACTTAGGATATTTTTCATATTCCGAAACCACCTCTACTATCTGCTCAATTGCGTGATTAGCCTTCAAGTCTTGCGAACCAATAGTAACCTGCAAGTTACGCCAAAGAGCATCAGTGTTTGCCCGAGGAGAGACACCATCAAAAAAGACCTGAATGTGCGATGACGTCACGACCTCCAGCAGCACTAACCAACAACACGACAAGCATCGAAACCTCTTTCTTTCATTCCCTATGAAATCGTCAACGAGTCCATCTCCATTGTTTTCTGAGTCCATCAGTTATTCCATCCCGACTGCCGTAGAATTACCTTATACGGTTCAACTAAAAATTGTCTTGCCAAAAATTCGACTTCCTTCGGCCACGTTGCGCTCCAGTATAATGTTTGACGATCAGGTCGTATCTTTATTACAAAAAGGCACCCATGAAATTAGATGTAAAGCAGGTCACTCATGTTCCGCACGTCTGCAGGTAGAGTAACTTATTCCAGTACAGTACAACCAGGCTTGTAAAAAGATAAATTCATACCTGAGACACTATCTTCCTAATCTGAGGTTCAAACCCCATGTCCAGCATCCGATCAGCTTCATCCAAAACCAGATAGGTTACTCTTCGAAGATTAGTGTGCCGCCCTTCCAGCATATCTATCAGCCGACCTGGTGTGGCAATAACAATTTCAACACCTGCAAACATCGCATTGCCATTCTCGAGTGTTTTAGGCAATACACAAACAGAACGCCAGAACCATACCTCAGGAGAAGGGAAATAGCAAGGCAGTATGCACGAACGGCAATGAAGAAACTTTGCAATGAGTATAAACTGGAAACAGTGGGGATTGCTGCATTCAAGTGTAGGAATCGAATTGAAAATTCCTCACAAGTTACATTTGCATGACAACCGAGACCAAACCGATCAACTAGGTCTTGCAACTAGGACTCAAAGTTTCAATTTGCGGTTACTGTTCTCTTTAGTATTATTCGAGACGAACAAAAACCAAGGCCTAACGGGCATCGATAAAAATAATTGTCTGTCCGTTTGATAGCAGTGAAACAAAACAGGTCTTCAAGGTGCACTGCAGGCACACCTTGTATCGAAAGCACCAGGAGGCGCTTTACTACTTGACGCTTTAGCCATGACCTTAATATGATATGTTGTCAGTTAAGGAGATACGCTTTCACAGTAGGCTACCTCGTCTAAAGAGAAAAGGCAAAAAAAAATTCTGGAGAAAGCTATACCTTTGTTAAGATCGCGAATCTGAGGCCCTTTCGGGGCACCTCCATAAATGCAAGTGTTCTTGATTTTAGATGAGGCTCCGAATTTAGAGGCTTCTTGTTGGATCTGTACAGCTAACTCACGAGTCGGTGCCAAAACAAGCACAATGGGTCCATCTCCAGGAGCTGTAAAAAAAGGTCAAAAGACAAAACTCAGCAAGCAGTAGCAAGTTCTCCGAGACAGATCGGGCCGCAATCATCGCTGAGTGAACCCCTGCTTTTATTCGGTTTGTGCCGGACGGTTTGCTGATGGGCACCTCCGTACAGAAGTAAGAACCTGCGAAATTTGTCTCAATGTAGACAAGAGCCCGACGGACGTGCTCCAGAATCGTTGATTTCATGACATTGTGTTATGTGCAAGAAAACACCCGGGCCCCTGGCATCGACTGATTGATCGATGCACTCTTGATAAGCCCATAGCCAAACAAGGCAAAACTTTATTCAAAGATTCATCAAAAGTCCTCATACGAGACGGCCGCTTGATACTCACCTAGATATGGCTGTGCGTTCACATGCACGATAGCTGGCAGCAAATATGCCAGTGTCTTTCCTGAACCAGTCTCTGCCAAGCCAATCAGATCCCTTCCCTTCAAAGCCATTGGCCAACCTTGGGCCTGAATTGCCGTTGGTTCAGTAAACCCTGCCTTAAGAACCTCATGCAGAACGTAATCTGCAGAAAACCAAGTTTGCAAAGAAAACTGGCATCATTACACGATAGTAAGCTCAACAACTTAGAAAGAGACGCATCTTACGAGATCACGAATGCTAAAATAATAGGAGGAAATACCAACCTGGAAAAGATGCTTCTTCAAAAGTCCGCACAGGCTTAGGTACTGTTCTACCCTCAACAGTGATCTCCCGCCGCCTTCGGTATGCAAGTACATCATCTTCAGTCATGATCGACACAGATGGATGTTCCACATAGAAGTTCTTCTCAAACGGTATGAGATTATCAAACTCCTGCTTAGGCAATGAAATATTGTCTAGATCTTTTTTCGAGCCTCCACCGAAACCACCACCTCCTCCATAGCCATGACCGTCACCTCCTCTTCCGCCCCCATAACCACCGCCTCCTCTTCCACCCCCATAACTCGATCCACCGCCATAACCACCTCCACCCCCGAAGTCACTGGATACATCACAAAAATTGGCATCAGAAACTGTGGAACTTCTCTTACATAACTAGAGACTCTAAAATAGACTCCAGATCATAATAAACAACCGACAGGCCAACCCCTGCTTCCTCACCCTAAACCTCGACGCCGGGATTTCTTGGCCAAAACATATCTATGTCAGGCTAGTTATTTCCTTGATCATTACACTAGCTGCTTATTCTTACAAATGCCTAATAAATTTAGAAATAGATTATGAAAAGCAGGGGCTTAGCAAAAATAAGCCCTCTAGTGCAGACCCGATGGCTTCTACGTATAGAATAGCTATCGCGGTGCTCTCAAACTAGACCAGGGGGCAAAAGTACCGAAAGGTCAGCCACAGGAAAAAATACATACGTTTTCCGCTCGCGGAAAGACGAAGGATCACCATATCTTCCATCAAAGCGACTACCCATCTCTGGAAACCAGCTTTGTGATGATTTCGCGGCAGAAGATGCGCTCCGCAAGAATTGCTGAAGAATTGCTGCGATCTGCTCTGCAAGTTCGCACTGAAGGCAATTAAAGTATGTCGTAAAACCTGGCAAGAAGAGAAATAAATTTCCAGTCGTTTAAGCATGGAGCAATCTCAAGGCTACAAATCACTCCACGGCGTGTATGGCCGACACTCCATTGCAGAAACCACTTGCGACACCAACTGACCCCGAGGGCAAACCATCAACCATCACAGTATCAGAGCGCTGATATCCATCAATGCTCTTGGCCTGATCACCGCCGAAAACGTTGACAGGACTGGGTTTCCCTCAAACTTACTTCAATTTGAATTTGGATCTCAAAAAATCTCAGTTCATCCTTTACATATAAGATACATAATAATTGCATCATTCACAATTCGGAGCCTAATAAATTCGCCAGCTTCGTTGTGCACGGATAATATAAAAGCCCCCCACTTTCCAGAAACGACGCAATAAATACTAAGTTTGCGAGCACAGTCCCTAGCCATGAATTGCTCACGCTTTCTGCCTACGCATAGACGTGCTTTCACTGGATGTATGCCACTCTACTCCACACCACGAAGCTGAAATTTATAGATAGCCACAGGCTATGACACAAACCCTATGGCCTCGACGGGATTCCATCGCCAGAATACTCATCAATAACGTGTTCTCCCTCATAAGGTGTGTTCCTCGAGAATGCGTGCCCATCACTATACAGTATGTCAACGTGTTGTTGCTTGCTTCTCCTGGCACGAGTTGATCATCCTTGTTGAATTTTTTAACAGCACAGTTCCTAACGTAGCCATCAGAACCCATCTCAGGAGACTGTCCATATTCACGTATTACAACACCTAGGTGTTGTAACTGAATATAACACCAATGGGTCTTATATTCAATAAGACACCTAGGTGTTATATTCGCGGAAACCAGGCCGAAACTAAACCCCGAAGGGAGCTCATACTTTTTGAGCTTTCTCAACACATGTAACAGTGAAGCGGGTGAGTCTCTAATCGCCGGAAAAGTCAAATAATGTAAAGATGTAGTGAAAGTGTACTGCGTTAGGACGTACAGCAGGAAATGTAAGTCGCGCACGAGCACAACTGCAGCAGCAGTTATCAAAGGACAATACAACCTGAAGAACTGTGACCGGTTTCCACAGCTGATATCAGACCAGCGTAAGCAAGCAGTCAGCAGTTCTCTAAACCTGCACATTCTAAGAATGAAGTGGTCGTACTAACAAGTCAGGGTCTGGTACCGAATGGGAAGTTACCTCTTGAGGGAATTATGAGTAGAACAATAATGCCTCAACTGAAACCTCACACGATCAAAAACCTCTTATTATCCAGAAAAAAGCGGTAATAGGAGGGTCTGAGAGAGCTCCCGTCACGCGTCATTGAACAAAATGTGAGGATTGATGCAGGAAAAGCTATTCAGCGTTACAAACTACAAAGGAGACGTACGGAAATCTCCTTGAAAGGAGAACACTCAAAAAAAGTACGTGCACTTCCCTCTCACATGTCATCCGAAACGGGTTCAATACCTAGTTTGATGATAGGGATATATTCGATTGTGCAGAGGTGTGCAAGTTTCATAGCAGATTTCACGATGTTATGTATGTAGTCTCAATCACTTTCTCCAGTTCAAAATTACGACATACACTAATTCATAGAAATTCAGTACAATCAATGTTCACCCAATTAACAGACATTTCCCCACACCGACATGATGGTCAAAAATCTCGCGTGTGGTAACTTTTAGAACAATCAACGAAGAGCTAAGAAGAGTAAGCTGAATCTCTACTGAAATCTATGTACCACCTGTGTTAGGGTTATAAATAGTTGAATGGTTGGAGCTTCAAATTCGTAAAACGATTATAGGAGGAAAGTGGAGACAAGAGATGTGTACGGCCCGAGTACACCATTATCCCAGGCTACCGCCACAGAAGCGAGGCGTATTTCAAAAGCCAACACAGAAGAAATCACAATCGGAGGCCTGTCATTCACATCAACAACCTTTATCATACCAAACTGTTTATTTGGCAAGATCGGGTACAAGAATTCGAAAAAGGCGACGAACTTAAACCTAAAGCACATGGAAATCGTTTGCACCTGGTGCCTCAGCTGACCATCCACAGTGCGCGTTGTCATGCCCAGACATAAACCGACGTATGCCATGAACCAGTACCCACAAAACAACAGTGAGAGATTGTGGAACCCAGTTCATGGCTGGGTATCTTCATCCTTGTATTAACGTAGGTGCGAAAACATCGAGAGGTCACTAACTTCTAAACAACAACGACAGCATGAACAGAATAAATTTGATGAATTATTTTACGACTTGATGAAGAAAACAAAATCCAGTGGCACTTGATTTTGTACTCTTTCTCAGACGCCGCTACAATTCAGCGCCATCCAAGGTTTTTTCGGATCAAAATTGAACTGGTAGCACATTTGTAATGTAATATCTTCCTGTTTCAGTTTATCTGGATGTCTCGAATTTTTTAAGTGAAGACCTGTGGTTCTAACTCACACAGAACATTCCTGGAAAAATAAATTAACCGGTTTGCTTCTTTAATTTCGAACACTCTAGCCAACCAGCCAGTCCAACAACAAACCAGGCAACAGATCGCAAGCTGGATCCTATATTTGTATCGTTAACCATCTACTACACCAAACTTGGCATATAGGTACGCAATCTGCAAAACTAGCGCGGCAGTCTGCAATTCCATCTTCACATGGCAGCACTAGTTCCGAAGAAAGAAACCACAAAAGGATCACCGGTAACTTCCCCAAAAAAACATCCCAGTGAGTACAGAAATAACTTCAGCAAAGTTCCAAAGACGAGCTAAATTCTTGCCGCAAAGAGTTCACGTCAGAGGTTGGAATCCCGTCGATGGTCGTATTAGACATCACGATTCACAATCCAGACGCTGGAACTAAAATATCACGACAGAAGCAACCAAATCCACCAGTAAAGCACCAACTACCCGGAACTGGATCACGTCGCATCATCAACCGAAATTCTCTAGGTCACAGTAGTTTCCTCTACCTCGGTTACTGGGGCAGAATTGCCGAGCAGATGAAGCCCGTATCGAAATTTGTCAGCAGAATTTAAACTGCTGGCACGTTCCCAGGCCCAAGAAGCGCTGTGAGAGAGCGCGAAGCTTTCCCAACGAGGAAGAAGGTCCAAACAGCGCGAGGGACGAAGGAATCGCACGTACACGTTCGGAGCGCCACCGCTTCCGAAAATTGGAGACTGTAACGAGTGAGATCTGAAATGAGAGTCCAAAGGAGGAGTGGCACTTCCGTGGAAGCGCGTAGATTCACAACCCTAACAGCTGCTCTAACAGAAACGCATAAAAGCGGTCCACGCGTGGGACGGCCCCGGACCTTAGCTTCCGCCCAATTATCTTCTCCTTCCTCCTCTTCTAATAAATCAATCAAAACCTTAATCGCCGAATCAGGAGCCAAATGTTGTCCTCTCCTCCTCCTCTCCTCTCCTCTCCTCTCCCTTGGGTGCACCGAACGAACCAAGATTCCGGTATCCCATTACATTTCCACGTCTTCCATCAAATGGTTGCCATGTCAGTCAGGGTCATCGCTTAATCTTTCCCCCTTATCTCGCCTTACCCCATCAGCGCATATGTGCACTTTGTTCCATAACGCGCTGAGATGTATTTTTATCCTCATGGCTATTAACCGCTGAGTTTTCTAGTGGTCGTCATCCAAGTTGTATGTCCCTGGCGGTGAGTGGAAAAACTGAAGTTTATGGTTCCCAAAAAGAATGATTAACCTATATATTTGAGCATCACCACTCTATCGGCTATACTTATTTTTATATTACGCCTATGCGTGATATACAAATTATTGACGACATCTAGTTTTTGAGCTAGACAGTATAAGTGCTAGTTTCTTGTATTTTAAATACACAAGAGTGATCAATTGACTTAGACTGCACTAATAAATATTCCACAATTTGACGACGGCTGTGATGTCCATACATCTCAAGGTAATATGCCCACACCTTCCTTTCTTTCCGCAAAATTGTTTAATCAAAGTTATGGCCCAGACATGTTAAGGTCAGGGAAAGAACAAAACTATGCAACAAAAAGCATAGGAAGACCGCGTCAAGCCAAATGTCACTTGCAAAATAACTGGCTCGAACAGCATCACATTGGAAAATATGACCTCAGCAAGAAAGACGTATTGGTGCATGCCTGCCATTATTTGCATATATGCAGTAATCAGGTTCACTCTTTGTCCATGTGTTGTGATAGAGCACAATGGCATAGGTATGTACTGTATACATACTACGATAGATGCAATAGGATAATCAGGCTTCTTTGTTTGTTTTCTGCCTTATAAAAGACTACATACAACACAATCTATTCTGAACTTCTGTAACCTCTTCACATTCCAAGTTTCGACTATTAACACCTATGCTAGTAAAAGTAGTGAGTGTTGCAGTTTTGTACCTGAATCAAAAGAGCTGTAAATTTGCTCATCGTCATTGAATTATATGTTTTCTATTTTATCAAATGTCAGTTGTCTTCTATAAGGTATGTCAATGTGCTGGATATATACTGCAGTGAACAAGAATCAGGTAACGAGTATTTGATACTCATATACTTCATATTTCTCAGCTTCATAGTTCGATGATATAAGTCCTTAATTTTGTGTATACGTTTCAAAATTTTCACTGAACTTTAAGTGAATTTGCTTGAAGAATCAAGCAAATTCACTATTGTATGACAATGTCAAACAATATGATACTTGAATGAATTAAAATACAGGTTCAACATCAAACGTAAAAGTATAGCAACAAATTTATAGTATAGGTTCTTATTTTTACAACGTTACAAGTTGAGAAATAGCAGCATTGCGAATATATTTTATGTCTATACAAATAAACTAATATTGTCTAATCGGTTTTCACATGACATTCATTTCGATATTATAATAAAACAATTTGAATGGTGTTCAATAACACCACGATTGCACTCAAAATATATAAATATAAATATATGACAACATCTTATCATATTGTTCCACTTTTTTAATATGATCATATACAAATAAATCTACTGAAAATATTTAAATAATAAATCTGTATTCTTTTTTATCATCAAAAATTCACGTCAAAATTTGATTAAAATTTGAATGAGAGAGAATTTTTTATACCCTACAAATGTCAAATCAGCAAATATGTTACATTTTCTTATATATGCATGTCTAGTTTATTGGCATTGATAGCATAATCCTGTTTTATCAAAGTATTCGCATATTTGTACTATACCATGATGATTATACTTAATCTTAGAAAATTAATTACACAAAAAAATGAATCAATACTTTTTTTCTTGAAATGAGAATAAGTTTAACATGTATTTTCGTACTAAATAAGATTTTTTCAATTTGACACGAATAGACAGAATGGAAAATAAATCTCTATCAACGCTCATTTTTTTTGGTTTATAAGAAATATATAATATAAATTTATGATCTTCGTATTTTTATACTATAATTTATGGTTAAAATTTTTAATTAATATATATAGTGAAGTGCACTTTTAGATACAAAAGGTATAATTTTTATTTCATTTCATTTCAATTAAAAAATAATTTTTTTCATAAATGTATATATAATCATAAATGTTGCAATCATTTTTAAAAAATAAAATATTTATCAATTTATATGGAAAATTAATCATTTTTGCACATATTAAATATTTCAATATTGCATGATTTGTATCACAAAAAAGTAGTATAAATTTTTTAAGGTTCAAATTGTTAAACTCAATATATCAATTTTAGCATTCAGAAAATAATTTATATGAAAATAAAATCGTTTACGATAAATTGTTCAAAGTTTAATATGGAATACATGCAGTCGAAATAAATTTATTATAAGGTTTGAAGATTGGAAAATTCATGTATTATATACTAATTATCAGAGTTTCCTAGCTAACGATCAACTTCAGAAAATAAAGTATGATTATTGCAAACCAATGTCATAAATTGTTGTTGTCATTGTGTTTTAAATGTTTTAACCATACTGTAGTTGTGTCAAGAAATCAACAAACAAACTCTGCAAACAACACGACCGATTACAATTGATGAGTTTCTTCTCCATCATGGGGTTGATTCATTAATGATTTGAATACATAGACTGTGAAACAAATTATAAAAAAATAAACAAATCATTTGCATGTATATTATATTATTTTTCAATCACAACTCAAACAAACACATGTTATATCAATAAATATATATGAAAAGTATTAGAGCTTTTTAATTTGATCCAAGAATGATTTGCACCTAATGTATAAACTAGTATTAGTACTTTCCAGGATGGATCCAGCTCGACTTTAAAGAAACAGTGATTATTACTGTTTACACTACTTCTGTACATGTTATCGAATGGGGTATAAAAGCTCAAAAGAGCAATAATCACGCAAACAACTTCTAAGTACAACCGTAAATTGCATAGTATACAAATTTTATGGACATATATAGATATAAATATAAATAAATAAATAAATAAATAAATATATGAACTGCGTGTATTCTTGTATACATATGTAAACCTTTTTTTCAAAAACTCAGTTCACGAGAATTGTAGTAAAGTGATTCATGGACAAAGGTTTGGACAAAAGCATGTCAATGGGGTAATGTGCATCCAATGCCACTGTGCAAAGTAGTCACATGAATATTTAAGATTAGATGCATAATCAACTTGAGTATTTTTGACTGACATGAGACGGTAATGACTCGATTTTCAAACGCTTCTTCTTATGCTTTGTAAATCAAATGTTCCGGCAAAGTGTGAAAAAAAGAATAAGAAGGAAATATACTTCTGTAGTCCAAAAGAAACACGGTTCAACTTGAGAACACTGATTCGAATACCTCGTGTACACTCGGATAGAATTGATTCGACTTTCTCATATCATTATGGCTCGTGGTTGCTGCCAAAGAATATGGAAAAGAAATCCGGTCCAACATATCTGAGAGTCTATTGTGTTCATTTGCTAACCAGATGATCCATGTGAAATAATCGGAGGGCATTCAGGTACACCAACCAATTAAACATGAGAGCATACTACAAAGCAAGATTTTTGTTAAATTGTTGGTGGAGACGGGAAGTATATTAAGTTTAAAATTTAAAGCAGATTTTCCATGTAAAATGAACGGAATGCATTCACGTACACCAACAAATTGAACATGCAAGCATTCTACAAAGCGAGGTTTTTGTAAGATTGTTGTTGGAGACGGGAAGAATATTGTGTTTATTTGTAAACCAGATGATCCACGTGAAATAATCGGAGGGCATTCACGAACTCCAACCAATTAAACATGAGAGCATTCTACAAAACAAGACTTTTGTCAAATTGTTGGTGGAGACGGGAAGTATATTAAGTTTAAATGTAAAGCAGATTTTCCATGTAAAATGAACGGAATGCATTCACGTACACCAACCAATTGAACATGCGAGCATTCTACAAAGCGAGGTTTCTGTAATATTGTTGTTGGAGACGGGAAGTGGAGACGGACATTGTTTGTGAGCGAAGAAACAATGAGAACAATTCGGTTTGCCCTCGAGAAAAGCAAACAAGGAAAACATGGGCCTGGCACAACGAATGAGGCGGAGGGGCCGAAGAGAGGACGGGGGCGTGTCAGAGTGCTTGCTTGTAGAGCACGTGGAGGCGGCGGAGGCGAGGCCAAAGCGTGGAGAGGAAGAGTCGGAAGAGCACGACAAATGCTGCCTTCGGAGCGAAATGATCGCGGGGGACGGCGGTGATAGCAGCGGCGAGGAGGAGGGCGAGGAGGTGGAGGTAATTCGGGATGGCGATTGGGCTCATCACGTTGTCGACGTCACTCGAAGGAATGAATTTTGTCTGCCCAACGTGGTCATGATGGTGTCCGGCCTCTGCAAGAAGCCATCGGGACATCTTCATCTTCGTCTTCGTCTGCTTCCGAATAACGAGGACGCTGACTGATTGACTGCGGCGACGCGGATTGGGTCAGAGTGCCGGACATATCGACGGATATAGAATCGAGTGTGGAATGGTGGCAGGGCCTCGGAGCCCGGGGAATTCGAGCGTTCATGGAGCTGCGAAGGCAAGACGGTGCTTGTATCAGTGGGCCTACGGAGTTTTGAGGTGAGCACAAGGCGGAGGAGGTCCATGGTCTAGTTCCGGGAGGGAGACATGGGGAGATCGTTTCAAGTGGTGATTTTGGGAGGTGGAACAGCCGCTGGCTATGCAGCTCTGGAGTTTGTCAAGAACGACTACAATCATGGCGATTTGTGCATAATCTCCGAAGAATCTGTACGCTTCTGCTTTTGAATTTCTGCTGCATTATTTGTGCCGCCTCAACAATGCAAAAGCTATCCAAAATTGCGGTTCTTTGTGAGGGTGTCTTGAAGCACGGATGGTCACGATCAATGCTAAGTGAAATCTCGAGGACGAATTCAGTTTCTCTGTGCTCCTCAATTTCTTGAAATTTCGTTCTCAGTCCGCTGTTTATGTTGCGACCACTTTGACTTTGTGCCATGTCTCGCGTTCCAATGTTATTAAAGTGAATGCTGTGTCCATCAAGCTTCAAAGCAGTCATGTGAGAAACATCAGTCTTTCACGTTTAGAATCGGGATGTGCATTGGAACATTTGTCTGATTCTCAATAGTATTTATCTGCATTCAAAATACGACTACAAGTTCATTTCGGATCGGGAAACTGAGTGGTTGGACTGCAACGGATAGTCTTGCTCTGGATTCATTTACATGTGAAAGTCGAAGCTTCAGAGAGCTTGCAAGGTGGACTGCAGGTCGTGCTGCATGCCGTTCTTTTCACGCCGTATGTCATATTTGACAATATTATATTAATGTGGAACACGCGACCTGCTTCTTGTAGGTTGCGCCTTACGAACGTCCCGCATTAAGCAAAGGGTTTCTTCTGCCGGAAGGTATATGAAAATTCATGGCTAGTTCACTGAGTACGTAGAGTCATAATTGCTGCAGAGGAAGGCATAATTTTACAGACAGGGAATTGCTGATTGTCAGTATTTATGTCGTCTGCTTCAGATGAAAACGTTAATTTTTCATTATGAAAAAGAGAAGTATTAATTGAAAATCCATCTAGTTTTTGAGCTCTTTGACAACTCTCGCCTACTGTGGTTCTCATGATGATATTATTCTGAACGCTGTTTTGGCTTGCAATATTTTCAACGCTTTTAATGCTTCTTCTTCCTCCTTTATAACGAATATTATCTCTCCGCTGACTTCTGTGTGCTGTACCGGATTTCTAACTCATACATCGTCGAATTCTCTTGGCAGGTGCTGCCCGTCTTCCGTCATTTCACACTTGCGTTGGTACTGGTAATGAGAGACAACTGACGAAGTGGTACAAGGACCATGGTGAGTTTTTTTTTCGCTTTTATCAATGTCAGTATATGCATTTCCTGACTGTCATAGTTTTGAAGTTTTGAAGAGTTCTTTCGTTATAACGTCTTCAACGTGCATGTTGTCGAAAAAAGAAACTAAATTTTGTTTTTCTGCAATTTCGTGCAGGAATTGAACTAATTTTAGATACACGCGTAGTGGCTGCTGATGTGAAAGGACATACCCTGCGCACCTCTTCTCAAGAAACCATCGCGTTTAGAACCTTGATTATTGCCACTGGTGCAAGAGTAAGTCACACGATAGCTTTGGTCTGAAAGTGGTTACGAGTTGATGTTATTGAGTTACAACATTAGATTCAAGTTTGAGTTCAAAGATCGAACGAGCCAAGCAGTACTGCATTACCCCTGTTTATGGATCTCAGTATACAGAGGCGCATGTGATACAGCAGTAAGTCCTCTGTGTTTTTGTCGCTAGAAATATGGCAGCCAGAATGAGTACGCGATCAAAGTAGGTCTCAGTAAATGGTGGACTCCTGAGATTTCCAATGGCTAGGTCCGTGGGAATGGTTGAATAAAGTATCGGAGAGAGTAGTAGCTGCTTGCTTTTGTACGAGTCTAGGGAAGGAGTAATCTATAATTTATTTTTCTCCTTTTATTACCTTTTAGTACCCTATCAAGATTGCCTTCTTATTGTCGTATTTGGCATTTTGGTGGCTGCGCTAGAACGGAAGTTAGTAAATTCCTAATGATATTTGCTCCTCAGGTTTTGAGACTTGAGGAGTTTGGGATAACAGGATCCGTCGCGCCGAACATATGTTACCTACGAAGTGTACAAGATGCCAACAAGCTTGTGGAGGCAATGGCAGCTTGTAAAAGCATTGGGGGGAGTGCAGTGGTCATTGGCGGCGGTTACATTGGTATGGAATGCGCTGCAGCATTAATTGGCAACCGCATACCGGTGACCATGGTTTTTCCAGAATCTCATATCAGTGAGTACTTTACTGTTCCCCAATTGTCTGTTAAGTTGGATTGGGGTTCAGGTGCATCGACGTGAAGCTCTACTTGTGCAAACTTGAGATAGTATGCTAATGGAAAGGGAACAAGACGAATAGTCATGAGAACTTTAGCTCACTTTCGAATTGAGCTTGACTTTGCTTCCTACCGGCATATCTATTTAACTTGCCCACCTGATTTTTTAAAAAGGATTGATTTTTTAGCACGACTCGATCAATGAAGTAAATACATCTTTTCATCGTTCACCTTTGGCGTATTTTACAGTGGCCCGCTTGTTCACTCCGGAAATCGCAGCATTCTACGAACAGTACTACGAGAAACGGGGAGTCACGTTCAAGAAGGGGACTGTAATGTCTGGATTTGAGAGGAATGATCAGGGCAAGGTAGTGCAATGTGGTTTTATTCCTGTCCAAGCTATTTCAACGGTCGCTCCACACTTTTGCTTTGTTTAGAAAGTAAAACTTCGAAGAAAATTTTGAATGTTTGCTGATCATTGGACTTCACAGGTCGAAGCTGTTGTACTCAAAGACGGTAGTCGATTACCCGCCGATTTGGTGGTAGTCGGTGTGGGCATCAGACCGAACGTTTCTCTCTTTGAAGGCCAGCTTACCTTGGAGAAAGGTGGAATCAAAGTAAATGGGAAAATGCAAACAAGCAACAGCTCGGTGTACGCAGTTGGGGACGTAGTGTCATTTCCTTTGAGGATGTATGGTGAAATGCGGAAGCTAGAGCATGTAGATCACGCACGTAAGTCGGCTGCCCATGCTGTTCAAGCCATATTGTGTCCGGAGAAGATCGAGGATTACAATTATATGCCTTATTTCTATTCGCGGGTTTTCACACTTTCATGGCAGTTTTTTGGAGACAACGTTGGATCCTGTATCCATTATGGAGTACAAAGCAGTGGGAAGTTCGGTGCATATTGGATTAACAAAGGCAAACTGGTGGGGGCGTTCCTTGAAGGCGGCTCGAAGGACGAGTATGCAGCTTTGGCAAGGGTTGCTAGGGATAGACCAGAGGTTCCGGATGTCAATCTGCTAGAAGATCAAGGACTAGGGTTTGCAATGGCCCATACTATGGAGCCTGACTCTGCTTCAAGCTCGTTCAAGGGATCCATTCAGGCAGGAAACATGCTTCTTGAGAAACCTGCAATGATCGTTTTTCAGGCTGCAACTGGCATCGCTGTTGCTGCGGCAATAGCAGGTTTTGTGTATTGGTATGGAAGCAGAAGAAGGAGATTGTTGTAGCTGTTCTAACATTATGTACTCACAGGCTTATTTGATACTCGAAAGCAATTGTACAGCGGGAAGATGAGCTTTGACATGTCTACCATGTCACGAGGGAAGTAGCTTCAGTCTTCTACCTGAAAGAGCAGAGTACATCTTAATTAGTGTTCCAGTGTGGCAGGTTGTTGTGTCTCAATGAATAGTTATTTTTTGAAATTTGCCCTTCCATCGAACTGGGAACATGTGTGGAGTCCACACATGATGGAACAGTGGGCTGGACATTTTGAAGAGAGGTCATAGTCGAGAAGGCGACTGTATGGTTGACTTTAGGACTCGCTATGCTGAAGGCGTCAAATCTTGGTATTCCACTACCTTGACGTTTTTATCTGAGGGGTTATTAGAAAATTTAGCGACATACGCGAAATAGGGTTGCATGTTGCAATGTGTAAAAGTATATTACATGGTGGAGTCGATCTGCTTTTGGCTTTTATTCTTCTCAGAACCAGGTGGAATGCCTGACTAAAAAACAACGACGATGGTTTGTGTTCAGATATTGTTGTTCTTTCTACTTTGTTCACAACTCCGAAGCCTTCAATCTGATACACGAGCTTGCCTGCTTGTTTACCCTTCAAGCTCCGGACTGAGGTCAATCTCACCTTTAATATTAGTTGAGAGTCGACACCCACAGCATCTTCAGCAATATATCAAAATGGTTTTGAGGTTTTTAGGTTCTTCTCCAGGATTCACAGGACGGAACCAAAGTTCGGAGTTGATGGCCGTGTTGTACACGGTGATTTTCTTTCGGTCAGGAGTGCGCCGAAGTGGCGTTCACGGAATGCATTGCTTCATTGGAACGATTAAATATCTCTCAACTTTTTTCCGTTGGATAACTTCGCTCTACGGCTTCTTGCAAAGAAACAGTCTTGACCTTGGAGCTCACAATCTGAGTTCAGCACATTTCTATTTTTATAAGGTGTGACATTACACCATTAACTGATAGTCGGGAATTAAGCCTCACTGGCTCGAGCTTAATTTCAAGTTCCCAGGTTTCCATACTTGAGAGAAGTCATAGTAATCACTAGTGGCCCAATCTAAGGAGGAATTTAGGAATTTAGCGGAACCGGATTCAGAACAGAGAGCACTATTGGGCAGCAGGTTCGCACAAACAAAGTGACATCCTGTCTAAAAGAATAAAGTCGAATCGCAGCCAAAGAGAAGACACAAAGAAACAGGAATCGATAGATAACTCCTCGTCTGTCACAACAGCGCCTAGACTTCTCCGATCATCATTTTCTTCATTAACGATACATCGCATAATAAGTTTATGATAGTTCGTACTACCTCGACCTTGGGGCATGGTGTAATGTAACTTTGGTTTATATAAAGTGGGAAGGTATATCTGAAATCGTCCCCGGTCGCCTGCATAAATATAATTTGTCCATCATTCCAGTGCCAACTTTCTTCAGAATACTTCCTGAATCAGAGAAACTGATAATTTCTGTTTGATGTACTTGGCTCGTTTTGTACTCAGTTGCACGTCGGTAGTTACTTAGCGATTGTGTATTTGTGTTTTGACACTGCACATAGGGTTCGTTTCGTTGAAGTGCATCACCTAGCTAGTAACGTGAAGTCTCAACATATACAGAAATTTAAAGCTTTTCACTGGGACCTCAGAGATCGACCTTATTCATGTAAACGTGCATGCTTCCAAGAGCATCATGAGTATTCAAGTCACCAAGGTTCATGGATTCAATAGGAATTTCCAGGAGTATTATGCGAAGCATATACTGTAAATCACTGTCTCTTTAATATCACAGCTCAGGTGTGACGAAACTTATGAGATGTTCATAAGACTTCCGATCTGTGCCACTTCATACACTATTCATCTCCAAGTGTCAAGTTCCAAACTTTCACTGTAACCAATGCAGCCTAAGCAATCTGGATCATCAGGCAGACTTACTATGGTAAAGCAGTTGATTAATTTACTTATGCTTTAGATTTCACATAAATAAAGTAGACCACAAAGTTTGTGGCTTTAGAACAAATAACAATTCTCCGGTCCAAAAGTTTCCAAGACTACAAACTTCATTCTCGAGGTGACAGGACGTTACAGCAAAAATTGGACAACATTGAATATGATCTACACGGAGGAATTAACATGACCTAAGCCATACTGCAGAGGCAGAATATCTTAATATATCTTAACATCCACGACTGTATACATGAGAAGTTACAGGACCTTGAAGTCTTTCATGGTGCAATATAAGCTCAAATTAAACACATGCCACAAGTTTCTGATGTTCCTTCAATACTCGCTTATGACAGGTGAACATTATTTTGCTTTAATACCAACACTTTTTTTCGCCGACCGTGGTTCCGCACCAAACACAAGGGGAAAAGAAGGGTATACAGACTACAAATTGAGGTCCTGGAACTCGATCAACATGTTTAACAGTAACAGAGACAAACTGAAGCTCCCAGTAGACTTCATGTATTCCATCAAAGCAAAAAAAGCTTTCAACTTTAAGTGCCAGACCCTGATCGTACACAAGCTGGACACATTCCACCATCCTCGAAAGTGACATAAAATCCAACACGAGAGAAAATCCACTCAAATCATACTTCAGCGACATTCGGAGCACCCCTGGTAACATATCTCAGGTAATCTGCAACTTCGTTGCTGAAAGTTTATGAGTGGAATAACACCGGAATCCAAGAGTTAACACGAATAGCACGAATGTCTGTTGAAGCTATAAGGAAATGAGGTGTGCATACTGCAGGAGTACGTTCTCGATAGATGCTTGAACAAATTATCAATCAGAGCATTTTTGAGCCTCAAAAATGAGCAATTCTTGCAAGATCTCTGAAAAGTTCTCTGTTGCCTTCTTCTCCAACAGGGTGCGGTTCAAGTTCTGTATGCGAGCTTCCATAAATCCTCTGAAGGCGAAGATGAGGCAGTCGAATCCCTATGTATTTAACAACGATTCGATGATGAAAGTCGGGGCGGTTCCCCTTTCAGGAACCTGATTGCACCTAAAATCCAACACAAAGGAACCAAAAAGTCACACCGCCGTCTAATGACCACCGTGGTGACCGTGAGCCTGCACGTACCTCAGACCGCAATACTTGCAAATTGCCGGTGCCTCAAGATCCAAGCTGATATACTCAATGGGATGCCCCAGAGCCGGATCCCTTCCTCCCTCGCAAGCCACAACTCGAGCATGAACCTCCACAGGCGGAATTTCCGCAATCAGCTCCATTGGCGACTTCTTCTCGAAGTTGGTCATCCATTTCGCGGTGTGCTCGCTATCGATCGGCAACCCGTGAGTCGACACTCTGCGGACCGCATTCACCAATTGATGCCCGGAGAGCCTGTCCGAGGCCACCGCCACTCGAGGAGAACGCCGGCCCAAACCGGACCTCAGCAATCTGAACGCAAGTTGAGATTTCGACATTGCCCTGACTTGCGAGTCCAATGGGCCAGTCGCCCGATGTCAGGGTTCGCCTCAGGCCACCGCAAGTAAGGAGATGGGAACCTGCGCTCGTGCTGCACCGAAATCGATTGCTCGGCCTCTCGAGCTTTTCGCTTCCCCAGAGCAGCGCTCCACAAATATCGATCGCAGCGAAGCTCTGCGCACCTGCATCTGTGCAACTGCGACCGCGGTGAATCCTCTCTGCCACCTTAAGTTAACTGTGGTGTTCCTTTCGTACTGCGTACGCCCAGCGGAGTCAACTTAGTTCGTTCATAGAGAAATGAGAAATCATGGAGGAGTCATCTCGATAATGTTTTCAGTGATTTAGCACCATCTTAGTTACAATGCTAACAGATTTTTTGTTCGTGTATATATATATTTTATTTGATATTAGGAGGCTACTTGTTGATATGAAATTGTGAACATCCATCCCCGGAATGATCGAACTTCTCTTGCAAAATTTTTCAAGTCTAATTCTGCATTGTACAAGCAAAATGCTTTCAAACAATCTAGAGGCCTTGGTTGTGATATTTAACTGAATCAGTTTATATTTTCATGTGGACAAGTAAGGGGCAAAACATATGATGTCACGAAACTCCAAAATAATCAAAATGCCAATGAGTCAAAATGAGGAAATAGCTGAATAGCCAAAGAATAAAACCAATGAAACAACCTAAGTGCTGAAGCCAATTGCAAATAAATGTAAATTATGAAAACAGTGGGCAAATGGGCAAAGCATCCAAATTGAAAAAGTAAAAAATGGTAATGAATTTAGCAATAACAACAGCGATGGAGAGGACAAAGTGGATGGCGGTGACAAGAGCATTGAGGAAATGAAACATTGGTGTTAGAAAATTGATCAAGAAAAGACTACAAGTTCAAAGTACAATATTGAAAACACACGAGGCTCTATACTTATATTAGTGAATATAAAGGATTTGTGTGGATTTGGAAAATATTTGTAAACCACCAAAATATTAGCGCGCATATTTTTTAAAATGTACAATTTTGATTTTTTTTGGACATTAGCTTATAGTCAACAATGATATTTTAAAATTAATGTTTCAAATGAGAGTGATATCATATTCATTTCATGATATTGATAAAAGAAGGTAAAGAAAATTAACTTCTCAATAAATCTGGATTCACATGAAAGTCTATTTTAGTACATATTTTTCCAAAGTTAAAAAATAAACAAAAATATGATTTACAAAATTAGATGGATTGTTACATGGATTATATTCATGTATATCATTCGGTGGCCAAGTATAATTATGTCTGCGTAAGTGTAGATTGCCTAACATGCCACACGTGTGAATATATTTTCACTCTTGTAAATATGAATAAGAATTTCTATCCATTTATGTGATTTTTCACACTTATAAAAATTTCTTAAGTTTTATGCAAAATGACCTATTCATATAGTACATATGAATAAGAGTTAAATTTTTCTTTCTTGTATTTTTTATAAATAAGAATTATATTTCAAATTTTTAAATTATGAGGTAATTTATAAAATTAAAATATATTGTTGAAATCTATATTATTGAATGGAAAAAAAACATATTTATTTAAAAAAAAGTAAAAAATTGTGCTAAATACTCATTGATATCTAGATTTTTTTTCAGATCAAAACATTTGCATTTGACATCAATGTCATAAACCGACCATCGATGACAGCTGTAATCAAGAACCCAGGGAATTGATACAACAGAGACTTAATAAGCTTCTTACTTTCATCAATGGCTACAGGCAAGAAACTCACATTACTCTTCAAGTTCCTCAACTTAATACTTTGAGACACTGAACTCTTTTCCAAGAACATGGAGACCAGATTCTTTGCAACACTGCAGCAGCATTTCACATCGTCCAAGAGAGCGTTGAAAACTCGTCGACCAACAATCTTTGGGCCCACCACAAACAGAGTCACAGTATGAAGAATCCTCAAGGTCTTAAAAGAGAAAGAGAGGGTCTCTGTCTTTGTACTTTCTAAGGAATCACAGTCATAAACATATGAACAGAGAAGAACACAACCTCGCTTACAAGAGTGGGAATCATTGATTGAATCCAAGTCCGAACATGATGAAGTCGAAGGTTGAGGCCGTGATCGGAGAAAGGTTGTTTAAAGCACAGATCACTGGAAAAAAATTGGTGGGACTGTCGTCTGTGGCCGAGACAGCCAAGGTGATCGATGGAACATCTCCACGATCAGGTCATAGGAACACCTCAACAAGATCGCGAAAATGCTGTCGAAAGACTGCCTTCGTGACGTCCATAGCAACTTTGGCTTACTTTGCGCTTGAGATGGGTCAAATCATTGGCTGCGGCCTTTGGTGGACTGCCCACCTCCCCGCCTTGCCCTGGAAATGTCGGGCCGTGGCCCAAATGCTGGTTGATCACGGAACATCGCAAGCTGAAGCTCGACTGAGGGTTCAATATTTTATTTGCGTTCACAATCGCAAGACGAAGAGAGAAATGAAAATGACCCTCAGAATATTATTAGATTTCAGATTGAATGGAACGCATCCTCGTTCTCTTCAATCTGACATCTAATATTCCACGTGCCAGTTTGAACCGAAGTGAGAAAATGATCGTATAGAGCTTCGACTCTCCGAAGTTCAAGGCTGCGAATTATCTTTCAGGTTGCATCTCCAGACAAGAGCATCCATTGCAACTTCCAATTCATCCTCCATACATTCCTTTCAAACTCGTTTTCTCAGAAAGTTTAGAAACGTTGGGGTAAGGGCGGCGTCTAGGAGCCATGTCGTCGCCAACGAGAAACACGTTCCTTGATGGTTTGCTGTGATCCCATATTGACGTACACTTACGTACTTAGATTCTGGAAGCGGTGCACTTTCATATTCAACAAAGTGGGATGACAGGTGTAATTCCTTCGGGAATCTCGTTCACGAGCATTGCTGTATACAGATCCACCTGTCTTTCGTGATGCAAATCATTGTCAATCTCACACTGCGTCATAGTATATGGTGTTTCCGTCTGGTGTACACCATCGAAGCACTTGCCGCCCACACATCACGCCATATTGAGCTGGTGCTGGACCTACCAAGAGGGAAAAGTTGTCGGCACCAGTCGAATAATCGGAACAAAGAATAAAGACATGCAACATCTTTGATTCTAAGATTCTCCCAATAAAAGTTGGAACCCATGGCTATTATTCTACCTACCGACATCACATTCCGTCACGCTACAGGACCAAACATGCTGCACGCCTGATATCACAGCATAAGAGGTGCAAAATGGTACCTTGACATCGACTAATTCAGGTTCCACTGATATACGACTTTAGGATATCACAACTTCATATGAAAACAGTGGGGAACCAAGTAACATAGCTACAAGTATGGTAATACCCCACTACTAGTACATGGGTGATTCCGATGGGTAAGATGCGACTAAGCCCCAAAAACATCATAACGGGAAATACGTCCTATCCAAACTATCTACTCTAGGTCATGAAAATAGCAATGATCAAACGGAGCAAACCGCAAGATTCAGTACTTCACATGCCGGACTGTACACCACAACTGCGCACAAAGGCTCCACTGGTTTGTATATAGTGTTGTATGTTTCTGTGACTTCGTCCAAGATCTGAATAGCCAGTTAAATTAGCTTCCAGTTGGGGTCTGAACAACCCATCCATTAAAAAGATAGCTCTTCTAGATGCGATCAGATGAGACCTATAATGATAGCAGACGTCAGTGTTGAAGTCCGAAGTCCTGATTACGGTAAATTCCTGTGTTAAATCGCAATGTTCACTTCATCAGAAATCATTACAATCATTTTAGCTATTTTAATCTCATTAACATAGAGGCCAACAAGTTCAACGTTTAAAGTGATCAAGTCAGTACATCAACAACTGGACAGAACAGAACAATGAAATCAATTTTGCAAATACAAGACAACGTATGGGGAACAACATGAACCTTCTTAGGAGGTGACTGGAAGCTGTGGCAATAGAGGAGAAAAAAAAGTCCTCAAGCTTCTATGAAAGCCAAAATGAATATGCTATTCAACCCGTTCTCTTCTCAATGTTGGAGAATCGCAGTATCCTATCGCCACGAAAAGCCTTATGAGACCGAAGAATGCCTTCTTCTATAATGCCCCCACATGAATTCGTAGAGACATCTTTGATTATTACCATGTGAAAGACAAGTCCTTCCCTTCTTTGGAATGTCGTCGGCAAAACAGGAGTGATTGATACAAGGAAAGACAAAAGACCATTCTGAAAAAGTTCTTCCTTTACTGAAAAAGGAAAGCAGCTGATCGGTCGATAGCATTGAATTGATTAGGCAAGCAGCAGAACCGGCTCCCTGCAAAAAAATTTGAGTTGACAAATAAAGAATGGACTCCAGGACTCTAGGTGCCTGAAGTACGTATAGTTTGTGAGATATATGCTCAGCTCCTAAATTCTAGTCCAACCACAAGCCCAAAATCTCAATGCTGATAGGCGTCACTTTGATCCTTGGTTCACGGTGGTGGGCAGCAACGGCTTTCCTTCGGCTGTGGTAAATATATCTGACGATTTCCTGGGTAGCAGGGCCTTTCGTTTCTGCTGATATTTTGCATATGCGTACCACATGCCGCCCAAGGTATTCATAGCAATGCCCGTGACATTCAACGGCGTAACCTCCACTCCTCCTAGTAGAAAGAAACCTAAAATCTGCACGCATGGAACTCATATTCTTAAGAACCTGTTGACAAACATGTACAGCAATCGACTCTCCCAAAAAGGACTAAACCCAACGAGTTCTCTCCCAGGAGTCCCACAGAGACTACCCAGCACAGCACAACAGAGCTCGCGGTCCAGAATCAAAGAGTCAAAGCACCGAAAGATTAAAAGAGACTGGTCTTACCGAAGAGAACAGAGCTTTCATAGCTCCCACAACCGTCGTAGTAAGTGCAGAATTCCATAATGTACATAGAAACAGTGTGTAGTTCAAGAGAGACCCCATAAACAGCGAGAAGATGAGCAGGAGAACGAACGTCGTGTCTGATGCCATGTGCGCATTGTAGGCAGATAACGCATCGGAAGCCTCCCCTGAGGCAAGAATGATCACTAGCAGCACCGGGAGCGATAGCGCAGCATTATAAAGTAGTAATTCATGAGAAGAATAGCCTTTCTCGCTACCACTCTTTTCGACAAATATAAGGTACGTCGTTTGTAGAACACAGCTAATGAGCGCCATCGAGTAACCGATCAAATCGAAGCTCAAATCCCCAAGGCTCGCAATGATACAGCCTGCTACGATCAGAAATATAGAGAAGAGTACGTGCCGAGATGGTATGGCATCCCCGATGAAATATTTGGCTGCAACTATGAGAACAGGAGTGAGCCGCTTTAGAGCATTGAACACTGGGATGTTCAGGGCCTGCAAACCGGCAAGAGCAAATGCCACGTTTGCGTTGTAGAAGAAAACGACTGGCAGTAAGGTCTTGACAGAAGCCAGATTAAGTGGCTGAATGGAAAACAAGGTCAAGAATTTCCCTAAATATATTATGGCTACCGTCGCAGCCATCTGAAGTGTCAAAAGCGTATTTGAGTAGGGCCATAACTGCAAAATTCCCTGAATCCAGAGACATAAACATGACAACCAAGTTCTTGGTGTTAGTAGAGAGCCTATAGCAAAAGACACATGAAGACATGAGAAGCTCATCCTCAATCCGACTTGTGTTGAGTATGTTCAAGTGCTGTGAACTCGAAAACCGTCACCAATGAATGTACTCCTTTCCTTGAGTCCTAGTTGGTTCTACGATCGATGACTTGCGGAAATCTTCACCTTATTGACGAAACCCATAACAAGGGCAACCACACCATAGAGCAAGCCGGCTCCAACGCTCCTAATCTGGTGGGCACGAATTTGTGCCGCTCCATAAATCTCTTCGGGAGGTAATCTTGACTCCGTCATTTTAACTAGATAGACATGCTGTATTTACCACAGAGGTCTGCATTCAACAGAAAACACCATATACACAAGTCATTTGACAGCTCGAGCAGGCTGTTGGTATGACTTGTAAGTGCCGGTCTACGAGGGAAAAAAAACCGAAACATTTTTCACACGAAGTTTTATACAAATGAAACCATTGTTGCGACTCAACGATGAGGATTTCTATGAACCATCAAGGTCGAGAACTTCGCTCTGTCCTTCACGTTGGAATTCGCTCAGTCGAACTCATACCCCTCTATAAATGTACTACACTAAAGAGCTTATGGGGTGATAACTGCAAATGCTATCACTGTGCAGTTGGACAGGAAGTTGATGAGCTTCAAGACGTAAATCCAGTAGAAAGTCAAATTAGATAAATTAGCAAGTGCCTCACAGTCCCCAACTCTGTGTGCGTGCAATAATAGTTCATGCAAGGTAGAAACATCCAGATCTTAATTTCATCAGATTCATGTGTAATGTCGTTTGCTAGCAGATCAGCCAGCATCGACATGGCTTATTTCGAATAGCAAGAACAAATAAGTAACACTGAGAACAGAGAACTGTCTAAACCAACTCTTCGTCAAAGATCGAAAGAACGACACTTTGCCGCTCGAATCTAGCCCCTTCGAATCTTTAGGTCTGTTGACAAAACAACTCACTACAGAAACTTCTCCAATTTCAGGAACCTGACCTGATCTTGTTATCAAACGTACATCTGGATAAAATTCGTTCCCATGTACTTCAGATATTCTATTATGCGCGAACGGACTCGGGAACCAAGTCTGCAGAGCTTTTCTTATTTGTTTCTGGCACTGTGAGCTCCAACCGACAAACTAATAATACTGATGGACATCCTCTGATGGTAGCTCACATCCTCTGATGTTGGTATCTTCGGTCATCGTCGTATATTATACTCCACACTGCAGATTGGAGTAAGATCCTTACCATACCCCGAATCCGGTTTCAGTATTCAATTTTAGAAACTTCGGCGAATTAGGAGCTCTACCAACATCTAAATTTTTCGTGGTTTGGCCCTCGGAGAAAAACCTCCTGAAACGGACTTGAAGATAGTTACAAACTCTAGGCAGTGGGCAGAGGCAAGGCAAGGCAAGGCAGGCAAGAAAACACAGAGACAGACTCGGGGAGAGACAGTATGTTGCACGGAGAAGATCTGTGACAGTTCAACACCTGATGGTGGGGTATGAGCCTATTCAATTCTGATCGATAAAAGAGAAAACCCGATTTGAGGCAGAAGGCAAAGGCCTCGTGCAGGGAGCAAAGAGAGATCCTAAAGTGCGGACAGACGTTCGACGTTCTGATTACGTCAGCCTGCAATTAAAGATGGAGGAGACCAGAAGAGCTGGGAAAATATACCGTCCAGAGCTCTGGAGCACTGTTCGGAACCTCAGAGTGGGTTCACGACTGTCCTCAAGGATCCACCTGGAGGAAATTGGCCGTCTTTGCAGATCGCATGGTGCGCTCATGCCGCACAGAGACCAGTTCCAAATTGCCCGATCAAAGGCGCTCTGGAGAAAGACCCACACCATCCAGCGAATTTCGAGCTCAAGAGGGAGACGGCGTAAGTCAGCACAATTGGTGCAGCTGCTGCACGACGTGTATTCTCGTAGAATCCTTCCCTTCATCGGCAATTACACCCAGATGATGAAGCATGAGAGGACCATCACTCCCAATCAAATTCCGCCGTTTTGTCTGTAGCCATCGACGTCATTCATACGGCAGTATCAAGGTGAGGCGAGCCAGCCGGACGACCTGGACCAACGCTGCAAGAACTCCCTCGCACTCTGAGAGCAGGCAGAAAGAAGAAATGAATCGGACCAACGCCCGCTCTCCCTCCCTCTTCCTCCAACGTGCAATCACGAGCTTCGATTCTAGCTGTCTGAATCTTCCTCCCAGCCCCCCCGGAAAAGACCACCCAGCTCCACTGTGCTGCCCACCACATGTCATCAATTCCCATCGTCGTTTTGAATCAATCAGTCTTTGTTTATGCCTTCCTCCTCCCCTCCGTCCTCTCTTCGGTTTATTCCTTCCAAATCCGGACCTTCCTTCCTTCCTTCCTTCCTTCCTCCCCCCTCACCCCACCTCCCTCCCTCAGGTCCTCAGGTCCTCAGGTCTTGGACATCTGGCCTTTGCTTTTCTCCCCGGTCTGCTGTGTTGTGCTTTGCCTTGCCTTTGGTCTTTTGCCTTGCCTTGCCCTGCCTTTGCTCCTCTTCTCCTCTCCCTCCTTCCTCCCCCTGCCTCTAGCCTTCCCGGCCGTCCTCACATTGACTTTGGTTACTCTTCCTCTTCCTGTGGGTCCGTGTTGACTCGTTCAAGAGCAGTCCGCTCCCTCGAAAGTGCTCACTTTTCGGACCTGTCTGTGAATTTTCGACCGCAGAATCGGAGTGTAGAGACATTGCGTCAACTTGTCGGTTTCTGGTTGGATACTCCAGCTAGCACCGGGTGACCGGAACGCATGTCTCACATGCAACTTCAAACATTTTAGTCTTGAGGTCCAGAGTGTTCGTTTTTTTAAAAGTGTTGTTTTCGTCGTCGATTTCGCTCATTGGCATCAATAATGGGGAAAGCAAAGCGTCGAACCTCTTGGTGCTGATATGCGATGTCTGCAGCTTCGATCTGGTCGGTGGTCGGACCGGATACGAGAGAGGGAGCAAGTACGGTGGAGTAAAGCGAAAAGAGATGAAGCTCATGACCACATAGCAGCCAGCACCTCCAGCTTCGATGAGTGATGTGATGCAAAGAAGCAGCTGCAGTCATAGTGAGGAAATGTGCCACAGCGCTGTGAGAGCAATCGGAGAATGTTTAGCTTTAACAAACAGGTTCAGGTGATGATTGTCATATTCGTTTCATGTCTCCACGTTTCTCTCGTTCCAGGGTTTTCTTGAGTTTTCTCATGGAGTGTTGTTTCTCCACTCAACTTGTTAAAAAGACCTGAATGAACATCCGAAGTCGCCATAAATTTAGTGAGTCCGGCTTAATTCAGTTGGATCAGATGTGGAGAAGAATGTTGAGCTTATTACTCGAGTATTGGAATTTTGGAGTTGGCCTCACATCATAAAAGAAACTCTTGGAAAAAGTTTTGATGGACTCGGACTACACTTTTCCGGATCCTTTCAATCATGAACATACATGGCATCTGCATAGTGCGCCAGAGCTCCCACATTAAACGTCAAAGTCATCATTTTCTTAAACTTATTGTGCATGTGTTTTTATTGCTATGAAGACATTGAAACTATCCAATTCCTGAGGTATTGTAAGAGATATCTTCCATCATGATAGTATCATAGCCTAGCCCCCGATTCACGTTTGGTATTTATCCACGTGCGACTAGGTTTTCTCATGAAAATCTAAAATTCACTTGGTCCTGGTTCATTTTCAAATAGTTTCTTGTGGAATCCCAATGCAACTCATTTTTTAGTCGACAAACTCATATTTACTACTCCATGAAATATAATAGTGTGATATTAATGTCATGAAGTTTTATTTTTCAATGTTTACAAAGTATCTCAAATCTTGAACCATTCATGTATTGAAATTATAAAGTTTTATGGTATTTTTTATTCATGCAGTATTCAGTTTCAAATAAATGCATGATATTAATCTGGAATTAATTGACCAGATTAAATTTAAAAACTAATTGAATAAATATTTTTAAAATCAAATTTGAAAGACTTTCCTTTATATTTGATATGCTATTATCGAATGATTTATAAATTCACATCTATTATTGAGCTTAAGTTTGAAACTTTTCATTTAATCACGATATCTACAATTGAGAAAAGAAATTTGATTTATTCACTTATACACATCAAAGAGCAATATCATTCATAGTAAATGCTCACCAGAGCTTCTTCATGTTATGCCTACTATGATAAAACACAAGAATATGAAGTATTCAAACATACTTAATGTCACAAATTGTGATGTGGATTATGTGAAGTTGATTAAAAATTTCTGAACATTGGGTTATAATAATCAACTTAGGTAACATATTACTCAGATTTATTATTCCGAAGACTTATTTTTGATATCTGCATTATAACATATGAAGATTGTATTGATAAATTTTCAACACAATTGTGTATATTTTATTGATCAATACTGATTACTTTCACAGGTAATTTTTTGCCGAAAATAATTCCAAATTTCTAATTAAATCTATAAAGATCATATTCATATTCACATTTTTCACAAAAATGTAAAAACCCAACATATTATTAATAGCAAGAAGTGGGATTAAGAGTAAAAAATTGCAAAGAAAACTCTTTAGATATGATCAAATTGCATCCTTAACTTTAGAACCAAATGCTTCAAGATTAAAACATATACTTTTTAAAAAAACATTTGATTTGAATCAATATTATAAATTACACAAATCAAAAGTTAACTATACTGTTTTCACAACAAAATAAACAGATTTTCTACTTCAATCATTATTTTTTCACAAAGACCCAATACAATAAAAAATACATCGCTTAAATACAGTTTAATACAAATAATTTTGTTCTCAGCTTTATCGTCTCATTCATAATTAAGTATGAGTAAACCCAAATTTTAGTTTATTTTTATAATAAAAAATATGAAAATTATGGAATTTGAATATTAATGATCTGTGATACAATTCTTTGATGATTTCCTTTTTGGAAATTTTTAAAGTATTTTGAATTTAATGAATAAAATGAATTTTTTATCTATTATATTTAAATAATATATACATAAATTTGACAAAATTTGAAAATTAATTCAAAAATATTATTTTTACATTTTATATTAAAAAATATATATTCATAACTCGTATCAAATGTTTTACTTTTGTTTGATTTTGAAAATATTTAAATAAAAATTGAGTCATTAATAATTATGAAATTTTGTTTATAAATATAAAAATTTGAAAATCTAGTGTTACAATTTATTATTTTTATTTTCATACAAATAATTTCATGATTATAAAAAATTATTTTTGTAATAAAAAAATATTCTTTGAAATGATAAATACAATTATATATCATATCAAATTTTAATGTTTAAAGTAAGTTGGCAATCATATCAAAATTGAACTATTGAAAAATTTATACAGTTTGAATAAATTTAAAATTTTTATGTTAAGTTTTTATAAACATAGTTATATAAAAAAAATTATTCAAGCAAAAAAAATTCATAAATAAGTGTAAATATATTTCAAAATGTAGTCAAAATTACCATAGACAATAATACTTCTAAACACAGAACTTGAAAACAACATAGGTAATAAAGATAAATTTATTTCTTTACAATCTATTCTATGAATTTGAATTTTTAATTCCAATAATTTTCATGACATTAAATCATATCAATAATGCTTGAAACTTTATGCCAAATTGAAAATATTTTGAATCTTATAAATATAATGATTAAATCATTATAATGCAAAAAACTAAATTATAAGCAAAAATTTAATTTGATTTATCTATCCATGGTTTATAGATATAATAAAATTTCATTACAAATGATGAAAACATTGAAAACATAAAATGGAAATTATAATTTATACATAAATTTTGTAAATATGTACAAAACTTACACAACATTACTCAAAAGTAAACATATTTATCTATATATATTTTACTTTATTTTTAAGACAAGATTGAAAATTTCAAATCATGATGCATGCCAAATTTATATCTTAATGGATTTTAAAAACTTATTTTAATTTTTTAACTGATTTTTTTGCGAAGAGTTATTTAAGATTTTTTCCTATTATCTTATGATCCAAATCTTCAGATTATTCAAATTTTTTTGGTGCAAATAATTTATAATATAATTTTATCTCCTAATTTTAGACAAAAAAAACTTAATGTATGTAAAACCGATTTGTTTATGACATTGCTATTTATTAAATATAGGAATAAAAATATTATTTAATTTTTTAATTATAAAAATGTGTTTTTAATATTTTTTTGCATTTTAACCTCATAAATTGTAATCTTTTTTCATATTTATCTTAATAATATTTAAATATATAATTATAAATAAATATTTTTCTATGAAATATAAAGTTTTAGACACATTTTTGAATTATGTCTGTAATAAATATTTCAACTAAATTCATTATTTTCAATTATGCTTCAAACATTTATTTAAAATACATACAAACAACATAATTATATGAAATTTTTGTTCATTTATCATGTGATATGTATATTAATATGTATCCAATTGTCACACTGTTGGAAATAAATTATTGTTAAATTATGATTATTTTGTGACTCTAGATTATCATCACAAAAATTCATTATTTGTGTTTTGTACATTTCATTCATGATATTCATAAATACGTATCACAAAATTTTGAAAAATATATGCAATGACAAACAAATACCAAAATGAAACATAATGATACAGATCTGTTCCCACGAGGATAGAAGCAACCACTAAAGTCACGATTTGTCACGTATTAGCATTCTATTAAGGAGTTTTACTTCTTAGGTCAATGCCACTCCCAGAAGACACTACCCAACTACGGCCGAAGACCTGCAGAGTAGCGCATAATCACACTCACAAACTGAAACTTTTCCAATCAACGCCTGTGGGTATCGCCTGCGACCCCACACTCATATTTCAAGGGGAAAACCTCCTAGCATTGCATACATCCCGATTCACTGATCCGAATACCTAGATTCGAATTTGCTTAAATCCCAAGGAACGCTCGGCTTCTCAAAACATTCAAGCTGCATACTCGCAACTCCCAATGCGGTAACTTCGACAAACACAAGCGCATTGTGCTCAATGCCTGGATCACACAGTGGATACAGGTTCTTAGCCAAAACAAGCCAAATGACAAAAAAAGCACCCCAAGGAAAGAGCCTTGAGTCTCTTTATTCACAATGGCAACTCTGGAATCTCAACCGCATGAGACGAATCAGTCTTAGGGGCTGTGACGTCCGATGTAGCGGTTACGACGTCATCTGAACTTAACTCTGCTCTTGATCTACACAAAACATTTACAATCTCTAACTCTACATAATGGAGCGCCTCATCGAATAACTCAGAAAATGTCTTAATCATCTATACAATCTGCTTCTGTCATGCGGATCCGCTGGCCTTAGTGCTCATCAACCGTCGCTCGATCAAATCTAACTTCAGCCACTTCACCATTTGCAATCACCACATCGCAAAGCCACACAGTCAATTCTCTACACGCAATCTCAATTCATCGGTTGTCTCGTCTCGTAGATGACGGTAGACCTCCTCTACCTTTTCCATTCTCCTTTGCG